GCTGATATTTCCTCAAGACGACACTGAGGTCATACGTTCTTGGCAGGAATAACGCAGACTTAATGCCATGCTCTTCTCAGTCGATCATATTGGGGGAATAGCGTGTCAATTTGGCCTACTGTTTATAATCTTAACTTTACCACTCAGTTAAGATGGTTAATTATTAAGTATTTAGTATTTATTAATTAATAAGTAACTAAAAAGTATTTGAGTGATTAGTTTTAACTTAATTAAAAAGTATTTGAATCTATGCAAGTATTTTTTTCCTCATCAGACTTTTACGTACTAGTTTTAGCATACATTGATGATTCTTACCTGAAGCACTTATTACTGATAGCTACCAAGTGGTGATTTTCTCATTTCTTAATTCCTTCTACATGTATGAATTGGTGTTGTGTAGCAAGGTAGAACATTTCCTTTCCCAAGACTGGTAAGTGAGGCTCCAGTTAAGCCAAAAGTTTGTTAATTCATGGTCAAGACTGTCTCTGGGTCTAATGGATATTCAATGTGTTGGTGAGGGTAACTAAGGTCTTGTTTGTACCTAATTGGAGGTGTCTTTTTCATTTCACATTGAAACTTTCTGAGGCTTGACCCACTCTATGGGAATTCAGGTCAGAGAAGATCCGCTGCAGGACGAAGTCTGTTCAGAGTTACCACTTTTCTTTCAGTGAGTTAATCTGAGTCCATTAGGACCCAGTAATTGGGTAGCAGTAGCCACTTAGTAGTGAGAAGAAGTCTTGTATTCCCAGTGGCCTTAGGTAAATGAGTTCTGGTAGGTTCTTATACCAAAGTTTCCAATCAGCTGTGAGATTGGCCACAAATATCTGTAATTCTGCTGAGTTTGGAGGAAATCAGGAGTTTCAGGGAAGAGCTGATTTACTCATACCTGGATTGCTATCTGGTGGCTTGGGGCTGTAGCAGATGTTTATTGCTAATTATATACAGAGGACAATCGGGCATTCAGTGTCCTTTTTTGTGTGTAGTTGTTAGCTGCAGAGCCAGCAGTACATCCTTCATGGGCCATGAAATGTTTCTTTGGCCTAAGATCTATATAGCTTCCAAGATGACCACTTGAGTAGGGGCTTGGATTTTGTATTCATTCAAGATCTGTCTGTGCTTAGGTGGCATGCTTGTAAGAAGTTTACTTCTTCTGGATCCTCACTTACAAGTCTTTCTTGATGGATGTCATATTTAAAAAGTTTTCTTTATGAATGTCACATTAAGAAATTGTTGAATGTTAAGGTATGATGATAGTATTATATGCAGTATATGTTTAAAAATTTATTATTATTGTTATTTAGTGATAGGGAATTCCCTGGTGGTGCAGTGGTTAGGGCTACATGCTCTAACTGCCCAGGACCTGGGTTATCCCTGGTCGGGGAACTAAGATCCCATAAGCCGCGAGGTGCGGCCAATAAAAACCCCCAAAACCAAAAAACAACATATTATTTATCGATACACACTGAAATATTTATGGATGAAATTATATGATGTCTTGGGACTTCCCTGGTGGCGCAGTGGTTAAGAATCCACCTGCCAGTGCAGGGGACATAAGTTCCATCCCTGGTCTAGGAAGATCCCACATGCCGTGGAGCGACTAAGCCCACACGCCACAACTACTGAAGCCCTCTCACCTATAGCCCATGGTCCGCAACAAGGGAAGCCACGGCAATGAGAAGCCCACACACCACAATGAAGAGTAACCCCTGCTCGCCGCAACTAGAGAAAGCCCACGTGCAGCAACGAAGACCCAACGCAGCCAAAAGTAAATAAATAAATAAATAAATTTTTTAAAAGTATAATTTAAAAAAAAAAATTATATGATGTCTTGGATTTGCTTTAAAATAATATCGGCATGAGGGAGGAAGAAGAAAAATAGGATGTAGCAGAAACCAGATTGGCTACAGGATGATAATTATTTGAATTAATTAATGGGGTCATAATAGTATTACAAATATTAATGTGAGATAAAGACATTTTCAAATAAAAGGAAACTAACAAGATTTGTTGTCAGAAGACCTGCAGTAAAGAAATGCTAAAGGAAGCCCTTCAGGCTAAGGAAATTGATACCAGATGGAAACATGGATTTATAAACAGGAATGAAGAGAACAGGAAATGATAAATGTGTGAGCAGATATAAAATTTTGAAGTTATTTTAGAGACATATGACTATTTAAAGCAAAAGCAATGTATTGTGGGGTTTATAACATAAATAGATGCAGTAGAGATAACAACAAAAGCACAAACGATGGTGAGAATTATATTGTTGCACTGGTCTTTAATTTTATATGAATATTACCTCTAAGTAGACTACAAAAAATTAAAGATGCATATTATACTTCCTAGCAACAACTTATAAAACGAATGCAAAGATATCCTAAAAAGCTAATAAAGGAATTAAAATGAAATACAAAAATATGTATTAACTCAAACCAAGGCAGGAGAGGAGGAATAAAGGCTCATAAGACAGATGGGACAACCAAACAACAAATAACAAAATTGAGACTTGGGTTCAACTATAACAATAATTATATTAAATACAAGCAGACTAAACCCTCAAATAAAGGCAATGGTTGTCAAATGAGCTAAAAAAAATATCATTGTATATTGACTATGAGGGATATACTTTATTTTTTAAATTTATTTACTTTTTTGCGGTACGCGGGCCTCTCACTATTGTGGCCTCTCCCGTTGCGGAGCACAGGCTCTGGACGCGCAGGCTCAGCGGCCATGGCTCACGGGCCCAGCCGCTCCGCGGCATGTGGGATCTTCCCAGACCGGGGCACGAACCCGCGTCCCCTGCATCGGCAGGCAGACTCTCAACCACTGTGCCACCAGAGAAGCCCCGAGGGATACACTTTAAATATAAAGGCACTGATTGGTAAAGTATAAGGATAGGAAAAGATACACCATGCAAATAGTAAGCATATAAAAGTAGGATGGCAATATTAATATCAGACAAAATGGACTTCAAGACAAGGAGTGTTACCAGAGAGATAGGTAGAGATGGACATTTTATAATAAGAATAGTAACAATTCATCAAGAAGTCATAACAATTATAAATGTTTATGTACCAAATAACAGAGTTTCACATTACATGAAACAAAAACTGATGGAATAGAGCTAAAGAAAAAAATCAGTATGAATATAGAAGAACTGAGCAATCTTCTTATCCACCTTGAACTAACATTTATAGAAACTAGACACAACAATTTCCAAATATATGTTCTTTTTATGAGCAAAGTAACATTTATACCCTTATACCTCATTTCCTGGTCCACAAACTAAGACTCAATACATTTCAAAATGGTTGAAATCTTATTAAGTATATTCTTTAACAACAATGCAATAAATTTTGGGATTAATAAAAATAAAACATCTAGAAAATCCCCAAACATTTAGAAACTAACAGCACTTATAAATAACCTATGGTCAAAGAAGAAATCACAAGGGAAATTAGAAAATATTTCAAGTTGAATGACAATGAATATACAACATGGCTAAGCATGTGGTCTGCAGCACAGTTTAGAGGGAAAACAATATAATGTAAATGTTTATGTTAATGAGAAAAAGCGTTTAAAATTAATGATCTCAACTTCCCCCGTAAGAAACTAGGGGAGGAACTTCCCTTGTGGCACAGTGGTTAAGAATCCTCTTGCCAATGCAGGGGACACGGGTTTGATCCCTGGTCTGGGAAGGAGCAACTAAGCCTGTGCACTGCAACTACTGAGCCCACACACTGCAACTACTGAAGCCCACGTGCTCTAGGGCCCGTGCTCCGCAACAAAAGAAGCCACCACAAGCCCGCACACCACAACGAAGAGTAGCCCATGCTCACCGCAACTAGAGAAAGCCTGTGTGCAGTAACAAAGACCCAACACAGTAAAAAATAATTAAATTAAAAAAAAAAAAACTAGGGGAAAAATATAGCAAATTACACCCAAAGTACATAGAAAGAGAGAAATGAAAATAAGAGTGGAAATCAATAAAATAGAAAATGAACAAACAATAGAGAAAATCTATGAAAACAAAAGCTGGTTTGTTACAAGTAGTAGTAAAATCAATGAACTCCTAGGAAGAGTAACCAAGGATAAAGGAGAGAAAATGTGAATTAGTAATATCAGGAATGAAAAAGGGGATGTTGCTATAGATTCTATAAACGTTTGAAAAAAAAAGAAAATTAGCAACAATGTTTTATTAATAAGTTCAACAATTTAAATAGTTGTTTTATAGATTCCACGTACATGGTACATGAATTGAGACAGTTTGCTGCTCCCTTTCCAATACGTATACCTTTCATTATTTTTTTCTTTCCTTATTGAACTGGCTAGAACCTCTATTCCATGTTAAAGTAGAGAATGCAGTCAACCTTGCTTTGTTAGGAGGAAGGCGTTTACTATTTCACTACTAAGTGTGATGGAGCTATAGGTTTTTATTCTAATTGCATTGGGAAGTCACTGTAGGGTTTTACTTGCATGAGTGACATTATCTAATTTACATTTTTATAAACCACTTGGGCTGCTGTGTGGAGAATGGGCTCTAGGAAGACTGGAGTGGAAGCAGGGAGGCAATCAGGAGGCAGCTGCAACCGCCCAGGAGAGAGGTGGAGGTGCCCTGACTAGAGTGAAGGCTGGGAGGTGGAGAGAAGTGGCTGGGATGGGGGACATATTTGGGGGATATATATCTATAGAGCCGACAGGACTTGCTGATTTATTGAATTTGGGTAAAGAAAAAGGAAAAAACCCAGATTTATATCATACAACTATGTTTATTTCCGACTTTTTTCCCCTGTGGATTTTAGATATTTTTGTAATGCATCTTGCTCTTTAGAATGGATCATTGAAAGTGGATACTTAAAAATCTAGCCTTATGTTATTTAGGACTTAATTTTTTAATAGGTAGAACACTAGAGAAAGAACAGTGACCAATATTTATACTGGATTTTAATCAATTTTAGGTATTAGTGATCTGAACTAAATTTCTACATTTTTCTTTTTAGGGTTGTCCAAGACTGGTTTTCAGAAAGGATGCAAGTGGCCAAAGTGGATTTCTCTACCACGCTTCATTTCTCTATGTATCTTCTCCTTTCCAAAAGATTTGTGTGCAGCTGGCACAAGTCAGCTGGCCCTGGAAATTTTTAACTGAACAGCTTTACCACTTGTCATTTCCTAGTAATAGGGCCCAAATGCAGCTGTCATCTGTAATGAGGTGATTGGGGTAGCTCCCTTTCCTGAAGATAATAACTGAGCATATCTGAACCATAATTAACTTACCCTTAAGAGAAAAAAAATGGGGATGAATTAAATACAGTAATTTATTTTATAAGTCAGGGGGATATACACTCTTCTAATAATTCATGTAATTTTAATAATCTTTAAATACTCAATATAGTTATTTAGAAACTAATTATCTTGGTTAAGAAGTCCATTTTTTTTGTGAAAAATTACTTAAACTTTGGTTTTTACATGATACTGTTTTATTCGTGATAACCCACCTCAAAAATTGCTATACAACCACAACTTTAACTGCTCCTCTTTGGCTAACCTCTGTTGAAGAATATAAATCTAGATCTACATCCTCTGCCATTATCTCTGCATTTGGCCTGTTTGTCTCCTCTCTTTCTTTTAAAAGACTTAATGAAATGTAAAGGTAGACATACTTTAAATACAAGTCAATAATTTACTCCTTTAACTTATACAAACTTTCCAGAATGGGCTTATGTTGAGATTCTGATCTTGGAGAATACTTGGCTCTCCATGGAGGGGCCACATGCAAAAGGCAACTGTGAGCCCTGGATTTAGAGCATTTATGAATCCAAGTTTAGTGTTCCCATGGTATATTGTTTCCTCTCTTTTTACTTTCAACCTTTCTGTGTCCTTATATTTAAGGAACATGTCTTGTAAACAGAATATGGTGGTGGTGGTTTTCTTTTAACAGGTGACAATCTTTGACTTTTAGCTGGGGTAATTTAGTCTGTTCACATTTATGTAACTACTGATATATTTGGGCTTAAGTCCAACATTTTACTATTTTTATTTATTATTTTATATTTTGTTTTTCTCCTTGTCTCTTTTAGGATTAGCTTAAATATTCTTTAGATTAATTGTAAATTCGTTAGCAGTTCTCTTATGGCTACCATAGAGATTACACCACTTATCCGGGGTTATTTTAGCACCTCTGAGGTAATGCAAGGAGCACAGAACTCTTAAACTCCGTCTGCTTCCCTGCTCGGTTTGTACGCTTTTGTTTTCAAATATTTTAGTTTTACTCATACAGATGTATATAAAATACACACACATTAAAAAATATATATATTAACCTCACAAGGCTTTACTACTATTGTTTTATATAGTTAATATTTATTTATGAGTAACCACTTCAAAAAAAATTTTTTTTTCAAAGTTGCATTGTGGTCAGAAAATATACTTTATTTTTTTTTAAGTAATTTTATTATTTATTTACTTATTTATTTTTTGGCTGCATTGGGTCTTCGTTGCTGCACGTGGGCTTTCTCTCTAGTTGCAGCGAGCAGGGGCTACTCTTTGTTGTGGTGCACAGGCTTCTCATTGCGGTGGCTTCTCTTGTTATGGAACACAGGCTCCAGGCACATGAGCTTCAGCAGTTGTGGCGTGCGGGCTCAGTTGTGGCTCGCAGGCTCTAGAGTACAGGCTCAGTAGTTGTGGTGCACGGGCTTAGGTGCTCCGTGGCATGTGGGATCTTCCCAGACCAAGGATCAAACCCGTGTTCCCTGCATCGGCAGGCAGATTCTTAACCACTGCACCACCATGGAAGTAACCGCTTTTTCTGTTGTTCTTTATACCTTCCTGCAGCTCTGATTTTCCTTTTGGGATCAATTTTCCTCTGAATTCTCTTTAATATTTCTTTTAGTGCAGCTTGCTGCTGACAGAGTCTCTTAGTTTTTGTCTGAAAATGTCTTTATTTCACCTTCAAATTTGAAGGATATTTCCACTGGGAATTTGAACTCTAGGTTGGCAGTTCATTTTTTATAGAACTTTGAAAATGTTCCATTGTTCTCTGGCTTTCATAATTTTTTTGGAGAAGTAGGGGGTTTTATTTTTGGTCCTTTAAAGGTAATATTTCTGTTTTCTCTAGCTGCTTTTAAGATCTTTTTCTCTGTCTTTTGTTTTCTGCAGTTTTATTACAATGTACCTGGAGGTGTGTGTGTGTGTGTGTGTGTGTGTGTGTGTGTGTGTGTGTATTTATCCTGTTTTGTATTTTGCATTGATTTTTTAATTGGGGGTTTTAATGTCTTTTATCAGTTTTGCAAAGTTCTTAGATGCTATCTCTTCATATATTGCCTTTACTCCACTTTCTCTCTTTTTCTTCTGGGTTTCAATACATTTGTTTTTGTTTTTTGTTTTTTTGCGGTACGCGGGCCTCTCACTGTTGTGGCCTCTCCCGTTGCGGAGCACAGGCTCCAGATGCGCAGGCTCAGTGGCCATGGCTCACGGGCCCAGCCGCTCCGCGGCATGTGGGATCTTCCCGGACCGGGGCATGAACCCATGTCCCCTGCATTGGCAGGCGGACTCTCAACCACTGCGCCACCAGGGAAGCCCTGGGTTTCAAGACATTTGATTGATTCACCATGTCCTGTAAGTTTCATATTCTCTAATGTGCCTTTTCCATCATTTTGGCCTTCAGTGTTTCAGTCTGGATTTTTCTTCTGGCCTAGCTTTCAGTTTCTGAATTATCTCTTTAGCTGGATTCTAATTCGCTCTTAAACTGGTCCATTGAGTTCTAAATTTGCTATTATATTTTTTAGTTCTAGAGTGTCAATTTGCTTACTTTGCCAAAATTTTCCACCCAGCAATTTAATTTCTTAGGCATAGTAATTACAGGGCTTTTTTAAAGTTCATGTCTGATAATTACAACTTTTGGATCTTCTGAGGGTCTCTATTTATTAAAAAACAAAAGAAGAAACAAACAATTCTTGTCTTTTTGTGTGCCTGATAGTTTTGGTTGAGTACCAAATATTGAATATAAAAAATCGATGCAATAATTTGAGTCGCCAGATGATATTATCTTTCTCCAGAGAGATCTTGCTTTTGCTTCTGGCATTTGGTTAGGCTACGAATTGCTCACTTAAATTCAATCAGAGAGTATTTCAAAGCTAGTTTCAGTCTAATTCCTTGTCATCCTTACTGAAAAGGATTCAGCTAAAAGCCTAGTGTCATTACCAGGGCTATTTCCCTTAGTGGGCCCTGAATTTAAATTTGTTTCCTCTCTTCCCTGCGAAAATGCCTAAAATTCTTAACAGCTTCTAAGTCTTTCAGTCTTAACTTCCTTCTCTGCTTCTCAGCCTTACTTTTAAGGCTGAGTTTGGAACTGTCAAGTGCCTTGAAGTGAAAAGTGAGGCCAAATCAGGATATTACCTCTCTGGGTTTCCCTCCTCTCTGAGGTCTTGGTTGCACAAGTCCTTATTGAATTGGTAGCTCAAGTCATTGTTTTATAGTATTTTGTCTAGATATTTGATTAGATGAAACTACATGAAATTTGCAGTTTTCATATCTCAAAACTGGTTGCCTATTGGCAATATCATATGGGTCCCAGTGGGAGGGTTGGTCTGAGACAAACTACTATACCATTGCTAGAAGCAGAATTCTCAAAATCTGGGGTTCAAGTAACCAAATGCTATGAGAGCATTGAATAAGTGTACAAAGATGACTAATACATATATTCATATATAATAAACATGTTCATCAAAGAATATTTTTCCTGTGTAGTAAGGTGTACGCTTCTTATTTCTCAGAGTCAAGTTTAGATGGCAAGTCAACTGCACTAGAAATCTCAATGTAATAAGAAAAAATGATCTGTGTACTGGAAAAGATTATTACTGGGAAATGGTCCTCGTAACTTATGTTTCTCATTTCTTTTTCTGAAGGATTGCTTATGGATGCCCAAATGCATGAAGTTTGGATGGTTTCTGCCCTATACACCAACAGATAATGAGTATGGTGCTTGGAAACACCATTACATTGCTGTGTGTCCAACCTAGATTGGCTAACCCCTAGGGAAGCCGCAGCTCTTTATGGGACCCTGAATGAACCCAAAACAGAAGATGAGCAACTACAGGAGAGGCAAAGAGAAAAGTGCCTAAGGAAAATAATTTGGGAGAAAATTGCACTACGTAAGAGTGAGTGGCATTTTACAACTTTATATCTTAACCAAGTATTGTAGAAACCAATGGATTAACATACAAATTCCCACAGAAGATAGCAAGGTCTTTCTGAAACAGCCTGTAAGTGGCATTCTCTAAAGTATCTCAGGACAAACTCTTTTTTTCTTCACTATTAATTAAGAAAAACAAAAAGATTTCTGATAAAATATGTAAGGTCAAATGTCAGTGCCTCTGTGAGACCAAAAATAAGGAGAGAGAAGTACGAATACAGGCAAAAGCAAATAAATAGGATCAGGACAATTCGGAAGAATTAGGATCGGTGAAAAAGGAGGAAAAATGAAAATGGAAACGGAAGCAGGAATAATGACATTTTTTTTTTAAGTGGAAAGGGAGTAAGGATGAGACACTCTCTGAGCTAAGCCTTCTGATTTACACGGTGTGCAAAGGTAATGAGCAAACCTGATTAGAGTTCTCCCATCTTTGTTTTCACTTACTCACCCTCTGCGAGATTGTAACAAATGGGAAATTACTTGAAGCCAAGAAGGCCAAAAATGAGGTAAAGCCTACAAACTGATGAACTGGTTTCTACAAGAAAAGAGTTGCTTATTCTCTGAGCTTGTTTCTTGACCTGAAGTGACTGGTAACTTGCAGCCACACAGCCGAGAGGATAAGAAAACCAAAGAGTGTGTAAAAAGTGGCTCTAATTACTGCCATCTGGAATACTGCCTTGGAACAGCTCTATTTTTATGCCATTAACTGTGTAGACTTGGCTGGGAGAAGCATGAAGTAAACAGCCGAGTCTGCTGCTGTTTGTTTTTCAGAGGATTTGTTCAAAGTTCGACCCCCTTGGGTGAATGGAACATGCTGCTCTAGATTGTTCGAATCCAAATGCCAACCACGTCTCTCCCAAACTGTGAGGGATCGAGTGGGATTACAGGACACTTTGGAGAAACAGCTTGTGTTTGCATCTTTAGAAGCTTTGCCCAAGCGGTAAGCAAACCTCCATCTACTGAAGGTGGAGGACCATCCTATGACACCAAGAATTCATTCTAGAATAATTCAGCTAACATGCAGGGATCTTGTGTAATTATATGGCTCTTATCCTATGAAACAGCAATAGAAATAGTTCCTTAATCTTCAAGAACAGTGGTCTTAAACGTGCTTCTTGAAGAGGGAGATACATAACATTCAAAATTTACGTTTTAAATATTCTTAACCCCGCAAAGAGGCTATATTGTGGACGTACCGTATTTTCTGTATAAAGTTATTGAGCAGAAGTAACATTTTTCCAGAAATTTTTTTGTAAGGAGTAAGCCTAGCTGAATGGTGATGGGGGAGGGGTGACTGTGGAGAGAATGGACACTATTCAGAAAATCATGAGGCCCAGGTGATTAAGGAAATTTAAAATCTCTTGGGGATTCCCTGGTGGCCCAGTGGTTGAGAGTCCGCCTGCCGATGCAGGGGACGCGGGTTCGTGCCCCGGTCCGGGAAGATCCCACATGCCGCGGAGCAGCTGGGCCCGTGAGCCATGGCCGCTGAGCCTGCGTGTCCAGAGCCTGTACTGCGCAGCGGGAGAGGCCACGGCAGTGAGAGGCCCGCGTACCGCAAATAAATAAATAAATAAAATCTCTTGACTGCTCCTTCTACAAATGTCATTTTGAGCCCTTAAGTATGTCACTACATTGGTTTTAAGTGCCCCACAAAAGTAAGTTCCAAGAGTCCTTTCTGGCATCCCACAAATGCAGGAGGAGAGGCCCAGAGGGCAGCTTTGGACCCACTTGCCCAGGAGCCCTATTTGCCGCTGTCCCTGAAAACCGCAGGGAGAGACTGAGGTACTCAGGCTGCTTGCCTTGTACAGGATAAGTGATGTCCAGAGGACATACTGGTGCTCACTTGTCAAAGTCAAATTAAGAGAAAATCAAAACTTCACTTATTCTCCCTTTTTCCCTACAGAAGCAATGTTTTTGGATGCCATTCCTACCCTTTATTATCAAAGAAAAATTGGCATGGAGTTTATAAAAATGACAGCAGCTCTTCACATGCTCTCCAGCCACACTTCATGTTAATATCATCTCGGATTCCTGCATATGAGGTACAGCGTGTGTTAGGAGGCCAGTCCTTTTTTGAATCGGGTCTTTTTTCATCTCCCCTAGAGGACGTATGGCAATCTTTTGGTCACCATGTGTACGAAAATGATTCATCTTCTAAAAGAAAAGCAGTCTGATCTAGGTGGAAATGTACAGACCCAAACAGTTTTTAAAATCAGAAGCAATAAAAATAACCATAAATCAAAATTATTTTTTAAAAAGTATTAAAGACCCAAACTGCCTTGCATTTAGTAGGTGTCCAATACATTTTTACTGAATCAAATTTGTTGCACTTAATCCTTAAAAGAGCAAAGTGACACAAATTATTTTAAATTTTCTTTGGAATGACCAAGGAACTTAATAATATCATGTAACTACCATCTCTCAAAAGAAAAATGTCAGAAATCCTACTTTGTGATCTATTTAACGAGGGTGCCATTAGATGAAAATATGCTTTCTATAATGAAGTTATATATTTTAAATTTCAATATAAGAAAAAGGAAGCACAAAGAAGACATAGGAAGCATGTATTTATATATATGTATGTATATATGTGTATATATACATGCATTAATAAGCACATATGTAAGGGATGGCATTAGTAGACTACATTCAATGGCTTACCTAGAAAATTTTTGCAAAAATTTCTTATTTGTAACAAAATGGTTGCTGTCAAGGTATGAAATCACTGTTCTTTTTGGGCATCTAGGAATTGACTTTGATCATTTACAACTGGCTAGCTTAATGGATCCACATGAAAGCAAGATCAGAGTTTTGATCTCCATGTGGGCCACAGATAGTTTCTCTAATGTTTAAAAATGCATAATGCAAAAAAAAAAAAATGCATAATGCTGGGCACAGAGGATAACTGGTGACAGAGTTAGGGTGAATAAACTGGAATCAAATGAGTCCATTCTCCTATTTGTCTTCTTTACATAAGACTATGCCATAATTACTTATTTGACTATGAATGTAATGGAGGTTTAGGTAAAAACCAGAATGTAACCATGTGGCGGTTCTCTATTCAGTTGAACTGTGACCTCCAGAAAGTGGCATGAAGTTTTGGGAAAAATCAATGCCTTCAATGACTTTCCAACCTGTCTGCTGCTAATGAATTAACTATATCACAATGAAAGGTTTATTTGGTTGTTGAATTAAAAGAACAGTGGTTTTAATATTTATTTAAATGGGAAATATTTATCAACATTGATCATTTGAAAATTCATAATTAAGAGGAAAACAAAATCTTTTCTTTTCTTTTTTTTTTTTTTGTGGTACACGGGCCTCTCACTGTGTGGCCTCTCCCGTTGCGGAGCACAGGCTCCGGACGTGCAGGCTCAGCGGCCATGGCTCATGGGCCCAGCTGCTCCGCAGTATGTGGGATCTTCCCGGACCGGGGCACGAACCCGTGTCCCCTGCATCGGCAGGCGGACTCTCAACCACTGCGCCACCAGGGAAGCCCCCAAAATCTTTTTAAGAAGTCCATTACAAAATTGTATGATCTCGATTTTATTATTTTTAAAAGCAGTATATATGTCTCTGTGCATGGGTGTGTACAAGGAAAAAAGCTAGAGGAAAATAATTTGTTAGTATTTCTCTCTGAGTGGTGAAGGTACAAATGCACTTAAATTTCCCCTTAGAAAAGAAACAAAATAATTTAAAAAGGAACCAATGAATGGGAAATATTCCTCCTATAGCTTTTGAAGAAAAACAATAGTCTTTAAAAATCACAGATTACATATTCACTGTTTTTAATTTATTAATAAGTGTTCTAAAGTAATGGGCTTTGGTTCCTACAGCTCTTGTTTCATTTTCTAGATGGTGGTGAACAGTGTTAGAGCAGATATGACATTTTTATCTTTCCCCCCTCAGGCTATAAAATTGGTATTAAAAGTTTACTGAGGCCTGAAGTGAGAGACTTCTGGGAGAAATTAGGAAGCTATGTGGCCCCTGGAGAAGAAGGGGGCCACGTGGACCTCTTTGTACGACACGGAGCATCAGGTCAGTTTTGAGAGGTAGTGGTCATACCTACCTTGTGATGGTATTTTGTGGATTTATAAAACGCCGTCAGTTCGGGCTTCCCTGGTGGCGCAGTGGTTGGGAGTCCGCCTGCCGATGCAGGGGACACGGGTTCGTGCCCCGGTCCGCGAAGATCCCACATGCCGCGGAGCGGCTGGGCCCGTGAGCCATGGCCGCTGGGCCTGCGCGTCCGGAGCCTGTGCTCCTCAACGGGAGAGGCCACAGCAGTGAGAGGCCCGCGTAATGCAAAAAAAAAAAGAAAAAAAAAATGCCGTCAGTTCAAATGATTCAGTCACATTTATTTTTTTTCTCTTTATACTTCACATACTCAGGTATTTAGGGGGAAAGGGCATCAGGGTTAGTGGTCAGAGTAACTGTCCCTAAAGAAATAAAGTCACTAGTGGCAAGAGCCAGCCAGGAAATGTATTTCTGTTTCTTCTGAGTATTAAAAATGGTGGAGTGCCTTGTAGAGATGTGTGGTAGCTGATAATCTTAAGTGCCTACCTGTCTAATATCAGCCATATTTAACAGATATCTGTTAAATAAAAGCTCTGTATTCATGGACTCATGGGCTATGTTTTTTTGTTTGTCTGTTTTTGTTGTTTTTTTAATCAAGCAGAGGAGAGGGAGTGTGAAATTAAAGTTTCTCAAACTGTTTCTTACTACCCACTCCTTAGGGAACTGTGAGTTTTAAAGTTCTTAATCCTCAGATTTCACTGAACTATTCAGTACATACAAAGCATGACCCTGGCAGGATTCCACGAGGCAAAGGAAAAAGCAAAAGGATAGAAAGGAGTTTAAAGGAAAACAAAGTATAAATTATTGTAAAAAAAAATTTTTTTTTTACAGTTACTACAATTATATAATCTCAACTAGGTAGAAAATAGGCATAGAAAACTCTAGGAGGAAATATAGCAAACTCTTAACACCATCTATTTCTGGATGTGTTTTTCAAATTTCCTACTTTTAAAATCAGTTTGAAAAGAGTAAGTTACAAAGAATATGGAAGGTGTGATCCCAATGCTTAAATCCCGTGTATGTGTCGGGGAGGGTGGTGGTGGTGTGTGTGTATAAAAGGGGTTTGGAAGGATGTATACCAACATGCTAACAATAGTTGGATGAGTGAGTTTTCCTTTCTTTTTTTTTTTCCTTTTTCTTTTATCTCTTTTATTTGCCTCTATTTTCTGTAGTGAACTAGTGTTACTTTTAAAATGAGAGCAAAACAAATTTTCTAAAATTTGTTTTGGAAAAGAAGAAAGGATGAGGGAAAGTAAAGTATTCAAAGGCCGAGAGAATGAGGGTGAAAAGGGAAAAGAATAATAGATTTGGTGACACAAAAATGAAACTTAATGTGAAGTGAATCAAGTGAATTGAATCAAGTGAATCAAGTGAAACTTAATGGTCTTCAAACAATGGATTTCCCACCGCCATTCTGGGCTCCAAAATCATCGCTGAACTTCGTGGCAAGTATAATTTCCACCTGGGTGAACCATCGAGCCCCTGGTTCAGTCAGAAGGCCCAGGCTTCTCAGTCACAAATCTCTTTCCCACCACCTCAGACATCACTCTTGAGCTTGTCCTCCCCGGTAGCTGTATCACCTCTGAAATCTTGATCTCAAGCATTTGTCTCTCCGAGTACAACTTCCAAATCATATACTCAAGTATTCCCACTCTATCAGTTCTTCGTCTGAGGACTCCAATGCACACACTCCCACTTTTTCACTCTCTATCACCATGGCTTCGACGTTGGTTCCTTCCTCATTAAACTTGGATTTAATGGTTCGTCATTATCATTACTCTCTTGCAAAGAATCTGAACTTCTTTGTTTCTTTTTCTCCTGGCCAAATCCCAGCTCATTTGGCTAAGTCCCAATGCTGGTTAAAACACAACCATCTGCATAATCTATGCCTGCCTGTACTAAAGCAGCTGAAGACTGTTGGAAAGAGTAATACAACTGTTCTTACTGATCTAACTTTAATGGCATAAATATCAAATGGGACTGCAGCTCTGATAAGCAATCCTATCACATTTCCTTGGTAAATTCGTTTCCCCACTCTTAAAATGACTATGATGTCCCTTCTCTCCTTTTTTTTTTTTTTTTTTTTGCGGTACGCGGGCCTCTCACTGTTGTGGTCTCTCCCGTTGCGGAGCACAGGCTCCGGACGCACAGGCTCAGCGGCCATGGCTCACGGGCCCAGCTGCTCCGCGGCATGTGGGATCTTCCCGGACCGGGGCACAAACCCATGTCCCCTGCATGGGCAGGCGGACTCTCAACCACTGCGCCACCAGGGAAGCCCCCTTCTCTCCTTTAGTCAATCTTTCAATAATTCTCTCACTTGATTTCACCTTTTACTTCCCTAAGGAAACTCCTTAATTTACCGCCCACCACAAAATCCACCACCTATCCCACCTCTTACCTTCATTCTGTCTTCCCTTCTGTTACGATGGAAGAAGCACCCCTGCTCGAATCAAACATCAACTCCGCTTGGACTCTGTAAACACATCGCCTTTCACCTTCCCAAGACGTCACTCCTATGCTCAAATCCTCTCCCACAGCCTCAGTCCCCTTTCTTTATTGGATTATTCCTATCAAATCAAGAACACCTGTAGTAGCTCCTCCCCTCTCGCTCCCCCCCACCAAAAAGAGAGACCGTAAACTTTGTCTCACCAATTTTTGAGTGGACTATACCAGTGGTTCTCAAAATTTTCACGTGTATTTGACTCACAGAGGGCTTGTTACAATCCGCATTGCTGGGTCCCAGCCTAGAGTTTCGGATTCAGTAGGTCTGGCACAGGGACTGAGAATTTGCATTTCTAACACGTTCCCAGGTGACGCCAATGCTGCTTAACCCGGGGGCCACCCTTGGAGAACCGCTGGTCTAGCTGACTGCCTCCACCTTCCTCACCTCTCCCTCACCCCTCAAGCTCGTCCAAGTGGTCTCCTTCTGCTGAAATCACTTTGGGAAAACTATAAGTGACTCTCATGTGCCCAAATCCGACGGTCCCTTCTCCATCCTTACCGGGCCTTGACCTCTCAGCGGCATTCGAGGAGGATGAAGACTTCTGGAAACTCTTCTTCTTCCCGTGCTTTCCCCAATACTACCCTCTCCTTGTTTGCCTCCTACCTCAGGGGTCTCTTTCCTCTCAGACTCCTTTGCTGGCTCCCACTTCTCCTCCTCAAGACCCTTAAATGTGTCCCGGACTTGATCTCGGGCTCGCATCCTTTCCATGACTACACTCTCCCCCTAGGGAGCCTCATTTATTCCTATGACTCTACATTCAACCTGGATGCTGAAGACTCCCAAACTTACGTCTCCAGCTCTAAAATCTCTCAGCGGCACTCATATGTAGCCTTTACTCGACATCTTCATGTGGGTGTTTAGCTTGCATGGCTCATGGGCATCTCAGAGTTCACACGCCTACAGCAGACTCGTGATTGCCTCCCAGCACAAACCTCCCCCTCCCCCAGGATTCCTCACTTAAGATATCATTCACCAGTTACTGCGTAAGCCAGACACCTAAAACTCATCTTTCTCGGCGTTACTTAAATTGTTTAAACAGCTTTATTAAGGTACAATTGATATACAGTATTTCAAGTGTGTAATTTGATAAATTTTTTAAGTGATTTTTAAATTTTTATTTATTTATTAATTTATTTTTGGCTGTGTTGGGTCTTCGTTGCTGCACTCGGGCTTTCTCCAGTTGCGGTAAGCAGGGGCTATTCTCCATTGCGGTGTGCGGGCTTCTCTTGTTGCGGAGCATGGGCTCTAGGCACGCTTGCTTTAGTAGTTGTGGCTCGTGGGCTCTAGAGCACAGGCTCAGTAGTTGTGGCACATGGGCTTAGTGGCTCCTCAGCATGTGGGATCTTCCCGGCCCAGGGATCGAACCTGTGTCCCCCTGCATTGGCAGGAGGATTCTTAACCACTGTGCCACCAGGGAAGTCCCTAATTTGGTAAATTTTGACATATGTCTGTCTACACACTATGTGAAACCATAAACCAATCAAGATAATTAACACATTCATCGTCCCCCAAAGTTTCCTCCTGCCACTTTGCAATTTCTCACTCTGCTTCTCCACTCCAACCTGAGGTAACCACTGATTGCACAATATATTAGTTTGCACTTTATAGAATTTTCCATAAATGGAATCATACAGTATGCATGCATTTTTGTCAGGCTTCCTTCACTCCAAATAATTATTTTAGATTCATCCACTTCATGCTGTTATCAATTGTTCATTCCTTTTTACTGCTGGGAATGATTATATTGTATTGATATACCACAACTTGTTCCATTCACCTGTTGATAGATATTTGAGTTCTTTCCAGTTTGGGGCTTTTACAAGTAAAGCTGCTGTGAACATACGCTTTCATTTCTCTTGGGAAAATACCTAGGAGTGGAATGAATGGGTCATATGATAGGTGTATGTTTAACTTTAGGAAAAAAAAAAAGAAAAGCTAAACTGTTTTCCAAAGTGGTTGTGTCATTTTATATTTCCACTCCAGCTGCCCAGCACTTGGTAGGGTCAGTCTTCTTAATCTGAGCCATTCAAATTGGGTGTGTCGTGGTATCTCACTGTAGTTTTAATTTGTATTTTCTCTAATGACTAATGACGCTGAGCATCTTTCCATGTGCTTATTTGCCATTTGTCTTCCTTGGTGAAGTGTCTGTTCAAATCTTTTGCTCATTTTAAAAATTAGGTTTTTTTGTTTTTTACTGAGAGATCCTTGTATATTCTGGAAAAGTTGTTTGCAAATATTTTCTCCCAGTCTATGGCTTATCTTTTCCTTCTCTGAACAGTTTCTTTTGAAGACAAGTAATTCTTAATTTCGATAAAGTCAAATTTATCAGTCTTTAAGTTTTATAAATCATGCTTTTGATGTCATATCTAAAAACTCTACCTAACCAAGGTCACTTCTGTGTTTTCTCCTAAATTGTTTATAGTCTTAAGTTTGAAATTTGGGTTTGTGATCCATTTGATTTATGCTTTTTCTAAATAGAACACAAGGTATAGATTGAAGTTTTTTTTTTTTAAACACATGTGGCCATCTATCAAATTATTTCAGCACCATTCCTTGTAAAGACCATCCTTTTCCCAGTGGGTTTCATTTGCATCTTTGTTGAAATCAATTGACTACATATGTGTAGGTACACTTATGAATGCTCTTTAACTTCACTGATCTATTTGTCAGCGAAAACATTAGACACCAATAAGTGAGAGACACCCCGACCTTTGAGCAACTACCATCTCGTTGCAAGCAACTGAAACAAGTTGGAGTAATTATTTACTCCTAGACCACAAAGAATTCAAATATATTACCCTATAGTTTTATTTGAAGTAGTTCGATCTATATGCTGTGTCACCAAAGAAGGGGTAAAATTAATGCTAAAATTTGACCATTGTATTCCATTATGTGTTTAACAGTTTTAAATCTGTCCCCTTACAACGAGACTTCTTTGAATCAGACTATTTTAGAAAATATATGTAGACTTTTCTCTGTCTTTGGCCTGAGAATTCCAAATTTGAAAATTAGCACCAGGTCAAACTTCTCGCCTCTTTCTCCAACCTGTTGTCAGTCCTCCTGAATGAAGTGTCTGGACTTCAGCACTTAGGGGTGAACTGCAAAGTGCTGATGGACTCTTCCATGAGGGATTTGAATTGAAGACAAGACCTACAAGTGGCCTTTCTTGGCCAGCTCATTAGTGCTTCTAAGAAATATTTAACTGTTTATGGCAAAACCTGTGAGCAAACTCATGAAAGTATTTTTGGCTGTGCAGAGGCAGGAACAGAAGTTCTTTCTCAGCTGTCTCAACTGACTGGCACGTTACTGACCGCCCCCCACTGGGATTGCCACCGTCTTGTACCAACACAGTAAGGGAATATGGGCACTGACCACCGTGCCCAATGACAGCCACCAACTCCAGGATCACCAACGACAAAGCACAGCTCATAATCCTGGTTCTGGCGATGGTTCATTCCTCTCTGAAGGAATGCTGTCACTTCCCAAACTAGGTCATTTCTCATCACTCAGAGGGGATTATTATTGCTCAGAAGGGGATTATTACTGCAAATATTTGCTTCAAACCATCACTTGCAAAAACTCCATTGAGAACACCAGCTTTAACAGTTAAACAAAGATGTATAGTAGCTGATTTAGAGAAATAATAAATACAGAGAACAATTTTTCTTAGTAAAACATTATCAATGTGCTTTCATTTGGAAAAATGAATTCCAGCTATAAAGAGATGGTGAAGGGGCCAGCTCAAGTTTCATTATCCGGGAGGAAGAACAAAGGTAAAATACACCTGAGAGCAAAATTTCACTTAGATACTAAAGCTGCAACTGTTGGATCAAAATGTAACATAGGCTGACGAACAGAGAGAGCCAAATTGCTTTGCTATAATAATGTTAATCATTTACCCCTTCAAAAATCCCTCACCTTCTATCAAAGAGGACTCAGAGTGATGTAAAACTATATAAAGCATTGCTTCTCTAATCCTGAACGCTAAGGGCCTTTCAAGACTGAGAAAAGCTGGCATGATTGGGAGGCTTGTAAGGGAAAAGTTTCCATATAGATACAACAAAAAGCACATCGACCTAATATGGTTTTGTAGCAGAAGTGTTTGTTAATTTTAGTTTATATAGCACCATCATCCAATGAGAGCATACTTGGCCCCAAGCAGGGAGGAATCAGCCTTGCAGAGACAGCAGGGTGCAGACACTGCTGTTTATAAAACAGGTTTTCTTCTTTTTTTCCTCCTCTGTCTCCTTTTCCTCCTTTTCCCACTCTTCTTCTTCTCCTTCTAGAAGAATATGTTACAAATACTTTCACGTTTATCAGCAAAAAATGTGGGGAGAAGAATCAAACTGTCCATTTAGGACAGAAAATCAAATTTCACTTGGTCCTGTATCATTCAGTCACTGATTTTCAAGGAGAGGAACTTTCTTAAGCACCCAGTACAGTCTTGTAGAGATATTTGTAGAGAAAGAGTAGCTTGACATGATGTAAACAAGATACAGGCTTGGCTACAATGGGGATGACTTTGGATGACACGATGGGGAAACCAGGCAGAGGGGGGGTTTTCTGTATTTTTATTTTTAGGATGTAAACATACAATTGTATATCCTTACTTGGATGTCTATTCTGCTCTCTGATGCAAAAATCCAGCAGCTATTTAATTTTTTATTTCAAATACAGTATAACATGTCAGCCTTATCCATCAAAGAGTAGATAGGCACTTGAAATTATTCATTGCATCCTTTTTGCGTTTCTAATTTTACCTTTGAAAGCAGACTATGGGTGTTTATCTTAGTCTTCTAATGAGAAAGGATAATAAGCCTGATATAAATGCAATTAAGTTTTTTTTCATACTGTAAACAGGAAGAATTCTTTCATCTGAGCTTAAGTCTGCGATGCTAAAAGGAGAAAATAATGTCAGTTCTTAGTGACTGGCTGGGACGGCAGTGGGAAAAGGTGCCCCCTTCCACCTACTTCAGCGAATCAAAGCTGCAGACATGGTCCAGCCTCACTGACTTCCTGGAAGACACCTTGAAATCAGTAAGGCAACAGCTAAGTCCTCTCTTCAAGGAGTTGCAGAAGAACGTAAGTGGCAGGATGACAGGTAAGAACTCTTGCTACTTCTGTTGCAGCTTAATTTTGAAGCCTGTTACACATCCAGAGTGAATACAAGTGTAGGAATGCACAAGTAAAAGTTGAGTCTTAAGCATCTTTGGTAAAACTTTATTCCCTTTGTTTTTCATATCTCCTTTCAAAATATCATGAATATCCACTAAGAAAAAATATATTCATCTTCAAAATGCTGAAGCTAGTTCCTGGGTTCAAATTTTACCATCTTATTAATTCTGTGTCAGTCAATTGTTTACCTAGGCAAAATTCACTGTTTGCTAAGCCAGAGAGTTCGGTCCATTTCCCTCTACAATTTGCTCTAAAAGTTAATTGCCAACATCCCAATTAAGCATCTCTTAGACCACAGCACCCATGACTTAAATTGTTCTATAATTAAGTTCTATTTATTTTCTATCTAAAATATTTAATTTGGTGATGGGCTCCATGGACAAGCCTATCGGACATCACTGAATGTGTTTTCTAATTTACACGTCATACTCATGATCCAATTATCACAAGAACGTCTTTTGGAAACCATTTCCTGTTTCAACTTTAGATCTTCATCTAAACCAGTCAGTTCTTTAAAATGAAGTATTTTAAAACAAACAAACAAACAAAGCCCACCTATTTAAATAGGTTTCTCCTGTGTCTTTAACTGCCTACTCATTTTTCCCTAACTCTTCACATGTCACTGAAGCACGGTACCAATCAAGTCATATGCCTTGCTTCTTCCCTTCCCCTGCCCTGCTCCTTATTTGACATCTGTTAACATAATTACCGTCTACACAAGAGCTGTAACACACAAATATGCATGGGGATATTTTATGTCAACATATGCCTACATCTTTTTACACAAAGGTCTCCAAAGCAGGGATTTGTCTTCTTGGTTTTCTAGGCTTTTTTTGTTGTTGTTTTGTTTTGTTTTGTTTTTTTGCGGTACGTGGGCCTCTCACTGTTGTGGCCTCTCCCGTTGCGGAGCACAGGCTCCGGACGCGCAGGCTCAGCGGCCATGGTTCACGGGCCCAGCCGCTCCGCGGCATGTGGGATCTTCCCAGACCGGGGCACGAACCTGTGTCCCCTGCGTCGGCAGGCGGACTCTCAACCACTGTGCCACCAGGGAAGCCCTGTCTTCTTGGTTTTAACTCTACCACGTTTAGTAGATGTTCAACCAGCATTTTAAAAGTTATGAGGCTATAAACAAGGAGAAATTATTTTTCCTGGTTCTTTCACAGATATTAAGGACTAGAAAGAAAAGTGGCAAGAGGAATGATAGAAGTATGTCATGTAGGTCATAAGCAATGAAAAGTCAAATGGAAAAAAGGTTGTTTTTCAAATAAATGCAAGTTTTTCAAAATATTTTTAAAATGTAGAAGATGTCTGTGTATGTATGTTTGTATGTTATTCCCTATGGACTTAAAATATTTACGGATTTGAGCACAAAGTTAATGCAGAATATGGAAGCGTTTTTGGTGGAATTGAGAATCTAAACTTTATAAGGTTTTTTTTCACATGTTCTTTCCTTGTCCAATTTACAGATTTCATTCAATACCAGCTTTGTCAGGGTGGGTATGTTCTATACGCTACACATCTAGATGCTTTTGCTCTTTTTCTACTTTATCATGGTAGATAACATGGCATAGTAGAATTTTTATTCTTAGTCTGCGTTTTTATCCACCAACAAGCAACTGTGAGGACTGAGTTTTCTTCTTGATCATATCTCTTACATATTTTAATTATAGGCCTATCACCTTATATTTTCAGGGCAATTTGTATCTGACACCATGAGTATGGCTAACATTCTGAATAACCGAGAAATTATACAAGCTCTGGCAGAGGGACTGATTGAACTTTCAAAAGAAAATTCTGTAAGTGTTCCTTTGAATAAAACAAAGTACAAAAACCCCAACGTTAAATAAATTTTTAGTTTGCATTTATTGTTTTTTACCAGTTTATCCCTCTGGGATGCAATTCCTCAGAGAAAATGCATCAATTTATGAAAAAAAGCCACTGAGAGATTCTGAACCCAAGATGTATTAGCTGCATAAAATAGACATATAGGAAAAATCTCGATAAGTTAAAGTTGATCACATGACGCACTGTTTTCTGTCTTGTGATTAATTTCAGTCAGAAGTGGCTTTAAAAAACACGTTTAGTGGCTTATATTTCACATAAACATTATTCAACAGTTAAAACAATTATGGCAGAAAACCTGAGAAAGTGTGGAATCAGATATAAAAAGATGAAGGGCAAGGAAGGCTAGATAAGAGAGGAAAGAGAACACAAGAACAGAAATAAGCAAATCAGTAATTTGGTTGGGCAGAGGCATGGGGGAAAGCCTGAAGAAGCATTTTCATCAGAAACAAATCTTGAACGCTTTTCTACAAAGGTCAGTCCACATACCAGGACACAGTGAGTAGAGGCAGTGTACAGAACACACTCTGCCCCAAGACCATGGCAAGGTTATAGGAAAATAAAATACAGTCAGCCATACGTATCCGTGGATTCTGCACCTATGGGTCCTGCATCCTAGGACAACTAACCACATGTGGAAAATATAGGGGAAAAATATTCCAGAAAGTTCCAAAAAGCAAAACTTGAATTGGGCTGTGCACTGACAACTATTAACATTGTACGAGGTGTTAAGTAATAGATGATTTAAAGTATACGGGAGGATGTCCTAGGTTACATGCAAGTAGTACACCATTTTACATAAGAGACTTGAATACCCGAGAATTTTGGCACCTGCCGGGATCCTGGAGCCAATCTCCGTGGATACGGAGGGACAGTTGTATGCAGTGCTCAGTTCAGAGGCAGTTGAGAATAGGACAGGAGTATGAGGCGATATTAACACACCTGATGCTGTGTAAGGTCTCTAGTTTTCCAAGGAAAAATTCTCAAATCCTTCCCTCTCACTGGAGTAATTCCACTTTGTGGGTGCTTTAACGACGTCTTTGGACACTCTCTCCTTATCTATCGTGGTTTCAACTTGGCTTCCTGGGCAAGCACCAGACATCTCCTGGGTACGCTGTCCAGTGAGAACCCTGGGGAGTTGCCGTTAGCCATGAATTTCTTCCCTGAAGACTCAGCTCCCCACTGCACTAGCCAATCCTCAGGCAGCTCAGTGGTAAAGGCCCTGGAAAACTTTGCTGATAATATGATCAGAGACGTTTACAGGGGTGATCCTGAGGCCCTGAAATTCTCCGCACCGTCCCCAAACACCAACGAATTAGTCAACATGTTTGGTGTAGGTTCATGGTACTTATTACCGTCAAATTATTTTAAAATAACCTTGTATGATATAATTTTGGTGGTGCTCAAACCTACAGTCAGAGAGGCAACCAAATTTGGGAGTCTCACGGGGTGTTTTCCCCGGGAATTCTGCTGCTGGAGCCTCTCCCCCAGACCTTCTTTTTCCTGTGAAGACACAAGAGTTGTCCTGTCCCCTTTCCTCATCTGGCTAAAAAGTGTGGGCCACTTTGGTTCTGAAGATCTTGAGACCCTCCCACAAGATCTTGGCATCCTAACTGAACTGTGACCGTAAGCTGAGAATCAAGATTAACTGGAAAGCTCCATTTACTGACTCTAATTGAATAACAGTTACTTTGTTTTCTGGACTTGCAAATTAATTAGGTAGAGAGATGAAAACTCTACTTAAAAAATGTGTTTTCTGCTGCACTTCTGTTGACCTGTATATGAAATAGAATTTTCTTGGGGGGGGGTGGATTTTTCAGGACAACCCTCTGGAATTTTTGTCATATTTTCTGCTGAAGAAATGTAGTAAAAAGAGCAGACTTTGAAGGAAATTTTATTCTGACAAAATGTGACCCAAAGGCAACGTGCAATTTACTCATGAAGGTAAAGTTGCTGCTGCATGTTTATGCCATTGCTTCACTGTACAGTTAGACACATGTGCTTAAGAAATTCATAAGCAAAAATGATAATTCTACCTGGAAAGCTTTCACCTGGTCATTTCTCCTAAGAACTTCCTTTTCATGGATTATTATTAAAAAAGTATGCTTTGTAGTTTCATAATGTGAGGAACATCTAAGCCACTTACAAGCATACGTGGCATCACACTGACAGGAGTAAAACTAGTTGGCTTTTGGGGGAAGAACTGGATACTCGCATTCTGCCCAACATAACCTAAAGAATTTTTTTTTTCATCTGTGGCCCAGGACACTTTTTTGGTGAAACTAAAAATGGTTCTTCTTTTTTTAAATTTAAGTTGAGATTCAAATTCATAAAAGTAAAAAAGTGGGTTTGAAGCTAGTTCTTTAGTCAAGAAAAAATAATTTTGCCAGTACTATATTCCGAATCCGTACATTCTTGGTTAAATGAAATAATCTGGATTCAGGAAACACTGAAAATTGCATCGTCATTCAGACAGCTGATTTCTATGAAAATGTCATTTCATGCCCATTGAAAAAGCACCTATCTGTGATGACTGAAGGCTTGGATGCCACCCCCAACACAAAGTCACCATGGACAGTGTTAGGAGGAATAGACTTGTGGGTTCCCCCAGCAGGCAAATCGTGTGTTGCCCCATTAACCTGATATTAACCTGATATTCTGGAAGTTTTTGTCCACCTGGCTTTAGAGGACAGCACAGTGCAGGGAGGGGCAAACAGGGTGGACGGCTGGAGGCAGCGTCCCCTCCACCAGACTTGCTCAGCAGAACGGAAGGCCTGCAGTTATTCAGCCCCGGCCCTCCGTCATTAGCAGACTGTGCACCTTAGCGGCCCCTCCTCCCCCTGAAGTGGCTTATTCTTCCCAACCACAAGCATCCTCCCCGAGAGGAGTCTTAATAAACACATTCGCAGGGACATCTAAACCCTTTAGAGGTCCGAGCCCTGCTTCCCTGACACCCCACCCCTAAATCTCTCTCTTCAGGAAACGCTCACGGACCATGTACTCATCAGGGTTCTCCAGAGAAGCAGAACCAATAGGATGTGAGTGTATATAGAGAGAAAGAGATTTGTTATAAGGAATTGGCTTGTGCAGTTATGGCGGCTGCCAAGTTCTAAGATCTGCAGCATGAGTCAGTGAGCTGGAGAGTAGGAGAGCTAACAGAGTAGTTCCAGTTCAAAGGCAGGGCAGGCTAGAGACCCAGGAAGAGCTGATGTCTCAGTTAAAATACAAAGGCAGGGAAAAGCCAGTGTCCCAGTCTGAAGGCTTTCAGGTAGGAGGAATTTTCTCTTACTTGCAAGAGCATCAGCCTTTTTGTTCCACTCAGGCCTTCAACTGATTGGATGAGGCCCATCCACGTTAGAGAGGACAATCTGCTTTAGTCAGTCTCCTGATTGCAATGTTAACTCATCCAAAAACATCCTAGCAGACATACCCAGGATAATGTTTGGCCAACATTTGGGCACTCTGTGGGCTGGTCAAGTTGGCATAGAAAATTAACCATCACAAACCACTTCTCAGGCAGAGGTCAAGTCCCCAGCTTCTCAGTTCAGTTCCCTAAATACTTATAGGAAGCAATCATGTGCTAGGCGCTGTGCTAGCCCTGGGGATAGACATAAAATAACACACAGCCTCTGCCTTTGAGGTGGATAAGACTGACACATACACGGATGGCGCAGCATGATCAATGCCTGTTAGCAGAATGCACAGGAGGGGGTGGGGCACAGGGGCGGCATTTAATCGAGATGCTCTTTCTGCTTCTCAGAGTCCTTCTGCCTTGTTATGGTGGCCACTATCTCTTTGAGATTTCTGAGGATTATTCTCCCAAAAAGGTGGATGTATTCTCCATCCCTCCTTCAGCCTGTGAAAACCTTTGAAATATAACACCCAGGGCTCCAGTACCACTCATTTCCCCTTGGTTCACTAAAGGGAATAATCGACATGTAACCACATCACACAGGTTCCAAATTATTCCAAAGTCCTTACAACATCTGGGTCATTCCTGACTCCCTGGAAACCTTACTGAAGTTCTTCCATCAACCTTTATTCCTAAGAATGAAGCTGTCACCCTCAACCATGGACATACAGGCCCCAGAAATGCCCTTCTTTGGAGCAGGATAGCTTGAAGAAAGCAAAAGGAACAAAACTATAAGTGCCTCTTCTTGTGAAGTGTACATTTTACATCTGAAAGACCTTACTATTATTGTAAGGTCTGGAATCTCTGGCCCCTAAAAGAATGGTCACCTAGAACATTTCCTCTCAAAGATACTTTCATTCTTTCCACTGCCAAATAAAATCCACACCGAATTAAGTCTTTTCAACCTAATCATCTAATCACTTTAATAAAATGATGCAGAAAGTTTGGGCTTAAAGTTGCCTCCATGCTGGAAATCAGGCCTGCTCTTGTTACATCGTCTGCCTGTAATAAAACTACAGAAATGTGAAACACCTTAGTGCCTAGGAATGTCTTTGATATCTTCCTTTTTCAAAATCAAATCAGAAAAAAATAGGTGTTAGATCCTTATTTGGTTCTCTGTTATACACTTGAGAGCTTGTGCGTGATGAAACAAATTTGGGGACCCTAGGAAGGAAAACCACAGCTTAAACGTAGGTGCTGAATTCAGATAAAATAGAGAAGCTGAGTATCTCCACATCTCGGGGTTTATTTTTAAAGGTGTAGACGCTCGTCCAGAAGAGCACACAAACTCTCAGCCATAGGAGTGGAAAGTAATGCCTTCTTCTGAGATAATTGTTTTAAAGACCCTTCCACAGGGGCTTGTGTAAGAGGGCTTGTCTGCCAAATCCAGGACCAAATACACACACACACACACACACACGTATATACATATAGACAGATACATATATAGCTCACTCACTCACTCTATCTATCTATCTATCTATCATCTTGCTGCCCAGTGAGTAGTTAACTCCTGGCCTTGATACGTCTATAGTGTTTACACTGATACTATACAACCACGGTGATGAGTCACAGCCAGAATCATAGTTGTTCTTGACAATGACATATGACATAGTTGTACCTGTCATTTTCACAACTATTTCTGGTCCCTAATTCAGGCAGCCAAGTGTTTTCTGGGAGAAGCGCCAGCAATAACTAGGATGTTAGCAATAAGTAAGATCCTACAGGAAAATTCCTAACGTGTGATCCAAGGTCTCCCTTACGGGTCATGGACAGAGCCAAGGCAAAGGCCCAGCAACTCCGAATAATTGTTTTCTTAAAAATGTGCAAAGTTTGCTGCCCCTGTTACTTCATCCCAATTCATCCCTAAAAACCAAGAGGGGATGGTATCTTAACCAAAAAATAGACTCTAAAAATCCTAATAATTAGACGGATAATATAAAATGAGAGAACTCACTGTTTTTAGGTTCAAACACAATTACTGCATCAAATTGATTTCCTAGCCACAGAGAAAATTTTACCTTTAAAAAATAGCTGTTGCTGGAAATTCCCTGGCGGTCCAGTGGTTAGGACTCTGCACTGCCACTGCAGGAGGCCCAGGTTCGATCCCTGGTCAGGGAGCTAAGATCCTGCAAGACACTCAGCATGGCCAAAAAGTAAATAAATAAAAAATTTAAAAAGCTGTTGCTGAGCCAGAGATGAAACAAAGCCCCAGTATGAGCAAGCAGGTTCTAGGAGAGCCAGAGGGGTCTAGGCGTCCACTCCTTAAGTTTAATGTCTGAGCACTCATGGGGGCCTGTACAAAAAGATGATATCCCAGGTAAGGGGGCCTCCCTCGTCTGTGGGATCCACAATCCGATCGTACCGCTTGGGTTCTCTTAACCTCGGCCAGGCAGGTTGAGTTTCATTTTCATTTTATGCCTGCAGCCACGTATACCTACACAACTACGGCTGTCACCCTGACTGGTTGAAGTTATCATTTCTCCATATAAATTATCAGCACTATAATTTATTTTGAAAGAAGAGAGTGTTCTATGCATAGAAATTATTGTGTCAAAATTCAAAGTAGATTTAAGTATAAATACGTGCCAGGCCGCTACGGGTCAGCCCCGAACGGGGAAGACAAAGGACATGGCAGAAAGGCTCTGTGGGGCAGCTGTGAAGCGCTCAGGCTCAGGCGCTGGCTGGCTGCGTGCAGTTCCAGGACCTCTCATACAAAGGCTTCAGGCAGCCATAAGGGATGGCTGCAGGTACAGAATAAAAACTTGTTTTTGCCTGAGTAGAGTAAGGCAAAAGGAGTCTTGCTTATAAATTGGTGTTTTTTTTCAGTCTCCCTCCTACGTATCAATGGGTTGCTATAGATAGTTTTATCTTTGACTAGGAAGGGCAGCAGTAGTGGCCACTAATTATCATACGTCTCAGCACAAACATGGGACCATTGTTCCGTTGCTGGGGTGGACCCTGGGATGCTGCAGGCCGAAGGGGGGGGCTTTTTTTTTTTAACGTGCTAAATCATATGGAAGCCACAAGAACAATTAACAAGGCAAAGTAAAGAAAGAATAAGCCATATTTAATGTGGAAACAGATCTAGAAATGGCATGTGAATTACTTCTGACGCTTTTTCACGAGGTGAACAAAGAGGTGAATTTTACAAAGTACTGTGAGCTTTTGCTTCTGGCGCTTAAAAGCAAGATAACTTGTTTGCACTCTGCTGCCTGGTGACAGAGCAGAGCTGAGGCAGAGGCCTGGTCCCAGGCACCTGGGAGGAGCAGCTGAAGAGCAGAATCCCTCTCCTGACTCCTAGTTTCTCAAGGATCGTGCAGTTCCTAGGAAGCAAAAGGTTATTATTTTTTTAACGTAACATTTAATTTAAGAGAGGCATCAAATTTGTCGAGTGCTTAATTCATTGTGTCTCAGGGCCACTATGGTTATGGCTGAAGGGCAGAGCTTCTGAACCCTCAGGGGGCTTGGCGCTGACTGGGTAGTTAGACATCCCAGGGCCCGCCCCAAATAACCAAGTCTGCATTTAATCCTCAGGAAAGAAATGTTATAGAAGATAATCCTCAGGACACAAAATCAAGTCTCGGCAAAAACGGTCCAAATTTTGAGTTGCTGCTTGAGTTGGTAAGCCAATTATCACATAATAAGAATTTTCTATTTGTTTTGCTCCTGACCAAAAAAAAAAAAAAAGCTTCAACCTTTATTCTGGTTTGTTTTTCCTTTTTTCTTGAAAGTTTCTCTCAGGGGGAAAGAACCCTCCAAATATAACTGGGGGAAATCCAGCCAGTAGATTTTTCTTTTGAATAAATCCTGGTCTAAAAAGAAGTCGAGGCAAGAGGATGGACATGTAACATCTCGGCAGCAAGAGCCATCTCTGTGCTACTCCTTGCTTTTCTGATAGGACACTAGGACGGCATTTAAAGAAGCGGTACGTGGACGTGAAGGTTCACAGGGTTTAACCGACCCATCAGCTATGGTCTGACTTCAAACGCTGAGTGTAATCAATATAACTTTTAGGGCTCTGTCTTTCCGTTTAGAAAGGGTAGTAGTGGGTGAAGCAGGTGCAGACAGGCAGAGGCTTGGTCCTGTGCGACAGCAACACACAGTGCATGCGTGCCGTATAGCATTTCTGCAACACACATCCACATTTATTATCACGTTTCAACCACAGAATCCTGTAAGTCAGGTGTTAGAACCCACATTTTGTAGAGGAAGAAGTAAAGTCAGAAAACTTAAAGGATTTCCCTAAGGTTAGACAACAGGCAAAGAGAGAATCTTGAATCCTACAGCGCGGAGCTCAGCCCCAAGGCTCTTTCCCAGTCACACAACACCCAGGGCCGGTCCGCCTACAGTGGATGGTGCCGCCGTGGACCTCGCCGGCCCCGCGCTCACTCATCCCCAAACCCAACCCCAGGAACCACCAAGGAGGAGGGCATTTACATAGTGCAGTCATTATGATAGAATCTCATCCGACTATTGGTAATAATACCTGACAATGGTTTTAAGACAACGACAGAAGTTTTGACAACTGAAACCTTAAGTCAAAATGATGATAAATATTAGATAACGCCTGTATTTTAAAAATATGTAAATACACATAAAATATAATGTGGGCTGTAAGTCAACTGCCAAGTGGGATATAGATGTATTTTTTAACTCATTAGATATGTCTAAATAGGCATTATATACAGACCATGTGTTTGAAAGATAAAACTTAACCAAGAACAGTGCTTATAGTATTTCAAACAGAATGAGTTTTCTGATTTTTCTCTTAAATTACTTTTACATTTTAATTTTAGTTCATGAAAGTATGGTTGATGTTTCAGGTGAAGATCACATGGCATTACACGTTAGTATTACCATATTTTATTTGGGGCAGTGTGGGGCAGACCTAGGGCTGGAGGGGAAAGAGGAAATTGTGTTCTAGGAGTTTTAATCGTTCTAGCCTCAAATATTACAAGGCCATTAGATTTTTAAAAATTGAATACTGTAATTGTTTTCTATTGTAAAGATACTAATTTTACAACTTTTCCAAAGTACAAATATAAGGAAAGGAATTACCTAGTCCCAGTAAGGAAAATTAATTTCTCCATACATAAACATAGCACAGTTAATATCAGGATGTGGGATTTCTTTACACCAGTGTATGGCTTCTCCCTCTGCATTACAAAATAAAACAGGACTTTGATATATAGAAAATACGGACCACCAGGCAACCTAATTACCCAGGAGTGGCGGGTTCACAGGTACTTTTCCCTAAACACAGAAAGAAGAGCCTGAGTTTCGGTGGAAACTGGTGGAAGGTCTTCGGTGGATGACCACCTGACTCAACCTGCGTCCTCACTTCCCATCTCCTCCTTTCCTGTCAAATCTGAACCGCTCAGTGTCAAGACAAAAGGATTTGACAAAAGCCCTGCCCTAAACGACTGACCACGAATTTATTTCTTAAGTTTATAGGTTGTCACTAGCCAATATTTCATGGCCACGCTTTCCTCATATTGCAGGTGGTTTCTAGATGACTTGAGAGACAGACTACAGGAATGGGGCCCAGCTCACTGCGTGGGAGAAATATTCATAAAGTTTGGAAGCCAGTTGAACATATACACCAATTTCTTCAACAATTACCCTGTTATTCTGAAAACTATGGAGAAGGTAAAAGATGGAGTGACCATCCAGGCCCTTATTAGCCCTTCTGAGCTTGAGAGGAAGTTTCATGTGTAACCCAAAGGACTACAATTACCAGGAAAGACTTCTTCTCTACTCTTGGCTTCCAGATCTTCCCTGGTTTACTGTGAGCTCCTTGAGGACGGGGACCCTGACTTACCTAATTTTGTGTCGCTACGGGCTGGCACAGTGCTTGACCCAGCAGCGCCCTGGAACCGGTTGTGGGACTGAACTTATCCTCATGCAAAAAGCCAGACTCCCACCTGTCCCAGTTACCCTGGGGCTCGGTTACAGGGACATGCTTCACAATGAGGCAGAAGCAAGACTGTTAACCCTGATTCTATGCTGCCACTACAGGCCTGGGCGGCCTGGGCGAGTCCCGCTCTCTCATGGAGAAAAGGAATTCATAATCCACACATTGGAATAAAAGCACTCAATGTGTGAAATCTCACGATGAAATAAGGAGTTCCTTTGTCTTGCATTCCCGAGCGAGTGCATTATAAACAGTTGTCCCTGTTGTGACTCCTGCCGTACACCGTCTGAGCGGAAATATGCAGCTCCCGTCTATGCCCCTTGCTGCTCTTGTTGGGATCTCCTCTGATGGCAGTAGGACACCTCTCTTCCCTCCTCAGTTTACATCAAAAGGGTAGCAGGAGAGACCCACGTCCACTGTGGCCATGTCCACCTGTCTGCACTGAGGCCCTGAAGGGAAAGCCCGGGGCTGGGAAGTCTCTGGACGATTCCTGACCTCAGACATTGCCCTTTGCTGTCCTCTTCCTGCCCCACCTGGGGAGTTTAAACACTGCAGGACAACTCGATTATGTGAAAATTGCATGAATAAAGCAATTTCATAGAACTGACATTTAGGACAAGAATTGGAACAAAGCATCATATATTATTACAGGCAAATTTGTGCCAACATTTTTATAGTTATGGATAATAATGTATCTATTTCACTAGCATGGGGGTGAATATAAGTAAGCATGCAATAAACGTTAGCTCTTAACATTTCTGAAATCAGTGACTATTTGACTTCTAGAAATTAGCACTACTTCCATCTGAGAAAAATGAGGTAACTTCCTGGGGGCTGTAATGGTGATGAATAATATATTTTAAAAGAGATATTAAGTATAGTGGAGCACCTTTTTAATGTTGCTGTGGAAAACATGCTTAACAGCAGTATTACAGGTGAACCCATTAATAGTCTCTTACTATTAGGAAATAACATTTATTGTGTGACAGACACTTTACGGATAGGATTCGCCCCCTCCCCACTCACTGCAAGGTTAGATATGATATCCATGAGAAAACTGAGGCTCAGAGAAGTTAAGTAACTTGACAAAGTCACATAGAATTAGATAGAATTAAATTAGAATTCTAATTCTAATCCAGGCCTACCTGCACACAAAGCCCATTTTCAGTTTTCTCTACATATTAAGTTCAATGAATAGGGTTAGGTTTATGGTACAATTAAAACACTATACTTGGGATATCAGTAAGCACCTATAGTGTTAATAACACTGTGATTAGATGTAGATGTTGCCTTTTTGCTTTTGAGTGCTTCACAGATGGTGCTCGCCTGGTGGAACTGAATGCTTCAAAACTGCCTTATAGAGATTTGACAATATCATGCTCACCTTTACTGCAGAGAAATGATACCAGCACTCCGAGCTTTCCTGAAGAGGCATGATAAGACCATAGTTACAAAGATGCTGAGGTAAGCTCTGAGGGAGAGCACAGCCGGGGCACCCCAAGTATGGGCGTTCTCTGGCCGTCAGAAAGAGACCAGGGCTCCCTTGTCTGTGCCTCATACAGCCTTCCAGAGCTGCTTTTGCACCCATCCCGAAGGTCTGAAGAATATATTCATCTTCTCTACGCTCTGAGGCTTCACACTTCTGCAGAACATGTTGACCACGGACGGGACTCGACCACTGCAATTGAAGTAATCAAGAAATACAAAGGTTACATAGATCAGGTTGGCTGCTGCTAAGAGCCTGTGTCCTTTAAAAATGTTACAGTGCTTTTGTGTACTCTAACTCAAAGATCCTGAAATACCTTATCCTCCTGGGGTATTCTTTACTTCAAAGTCTTTCATCCTTTTAATGTGAAGTCATTGTATTCAGTAATTTTGAGCACGGAGGGCACCTATTCTAAACCAAATCACATGAGACAATGTTTTCAGATACCTGTAGAAGTACAATAAAATCTTTATTAATATAAAAGTTTAAAAAATGGAGTATTTGGGTGATTTTTCTAGATAACTAAAAGAAAAGAAAAAGAGTAAAACCCTTTGTTTCTGAAAGTACTTTTTCATGTATTAACTTTCCTGCCTAAGTAAGTAGAGCAATCACAACTATATTCTGCAGGAAATCAGCATCTTGGAGTACGGTACTACCATTCTGAAAATATCACTGTGACGTGCACAGTGCATGGGAGTCTGGGCTGAATGTAAATGACAGCTCATTATGCCCAGAAGAAATTTTTGAATACAGTGTTGTCGCTAGCCTCATTGTTTTAAAACGTATTGGGTACAGGAAATGGAGATTCTCATAATAGTTTATGAAAATACCGTGCCCTTATCAAGTGCCATAAAATATTTTAATCTATTTTTTTATGTATAAAAATATCACAATTTCAGTTTCCCTAAAATCACTTTGTTTTCTAGATGAAGCAGAACATCAATATGAAAGATCAGCTGTCAGACATAGAATCATCTGTGGGTGCCCGGTATGTATTCTGATGCACTTGCTCCATCTCAGGCTCATGAATTATAACCTCAAGTCACTGGCAAAAAGGAGACATACAGATTTTGATTCAGCTAACATCCATTGAGTGCCTGCTGTGTGCCAGGGGCTGCCAAGCTCTCATATTCCACATCCCTGTTATTGGCAAGGATGCTAGATGAGAAGAGGCACAAGTGGTCTTGAGCCCATCCCATAACTTCTCTGCAGTCTTAGCACCTTTCTTGGGACTACTGTGATCATGACCCCCTTTGAGGAATGGGGCCGTGTCTTTACTGTTTTATATCTCCCTGCACATAATATCTGGTGCAGGATTCTGCCCACTGAGGACATCAGCGGGAATCCTAGAAGTCCTCTGCCGGCTATCTGTTACCTACGGAATATCATCTGGTCCCATTCTACCCTCCTTCTCACTGCCTCGCCTACCACCTTATGATCAAACCACATAAATCTACTCACAGTTCTCTAATAACGTGAGCCTCTCTTCACACATTTGTGCTTTGCCCATGCTCTTCCTTCTCAGAAATTGCCTTCTTTTTCTACTCCACTGGATAAACTCCTATTCATCCTTTGAAGATCCATTTCAATCTTCGTCTTCCTTGTAAAGTATCCCACAACATCTCCAGTGTGAGCTGCCCCTTCCTAGGTATTCTGCAGCGCCCTGAAGGTCTCTGCCACGTTTTCCTTCAGTCCTTTATTCACAAGATTGGGAGCTCCATCAGGTATGAACTATGATTTACGTGTCTTCTAGCGTTCAGCATATACTAGGAGTTCAATATATGAATTATATTGAATTAAAATATCAGTTGACTGGAAGTGTTATTGTTATTTGCTCAAACTGGGGAAGCAAGGTGGAGTTGTTTGGGCCTAATTTAGATCTGCACATTTTGATAGGGAAAGAGGTGGAGTTGATTGGATTACAGAAAATCCAAAATCTTGGAACTCACAGAGCCCACAGAACTTTACCTTTGGATCACTATACACATCAAGTGATCATCTCCATGGCTAGATCAGTAAAAGGGCCTGACTTCTTAATTTGTAACATTTCATTCACCTCCTTTTCTCCATAGAGCCCTTCTGACTCACCCCACCCCCACCTTATTTTTGATGCTAGGAAAGCATTTATAATAAAACAATGTTTTCAATAGTTTAAAAATACAGTTTTCACTGTTTGACAAACAATGCTTTTTCATAATTGAACTGAGTTCTACTCAACACTTACATCTTCTGGGATATAAAATGGTTCTTCAGTAGTGGAAATTATTTTCTAAAAATTTATATATTTCTAATTTTGTTTTTTATTTCATAGACTCTATCAGAAGTAAACAGATATCTGATTAGGGTCCAAGATGTAGCCCAACTTCACTGCTGTGATGAGGAACTAAGTTTCTCTTTAAGGTAAATATTTAACTATCCTATGGCTGTGACTGTATCATATTTATCTTGTACCCAGAATCCAGTACAATGTCTGTCATATTGTAAATTTACGATAAATCTTTGTGTTGAACTAAAAAGTTACACACACACCCCTCTCTGAGATGATGTAAGGTGTTTTATCACCTTACTCGCATACCAGGCAGCTACTGGGTAGAATGGAAGAAGCTAAACTGTCATTGCCGGGACCACTAACTCCACTGAAAGAGGAGTTCTGAAGTTTGGTCACTTTCCTACTGAGAGGAGAGCCAAGTGTTGCGGGGTACCACATGGATGATCTGCTCAACTCTGAGAAAGAGAAGACCAGTTGATTGTCCGCAGTTAGTTACTGAGGTCAGTATTCAGAAGGTCTCACCCTAAGACCACCATGGTATTGAGGTCTCACATTTCTAGTTTGTACAGTGCTCACAGTATAAGAGCTATTGTGACGAGAGGGTGCTAGCATTCCCTTTCCTCCTTTAGAACAAGGATGGGCAACCTTTTTCTGTAGAGGGGCAGATGGTAAGTATTCTAGGTCTTTCTTGCTGAATGATCTCTGTGGCAACTACCTAACTTTGCTGTTGTAGCACAAAAGCAGCTGCATAAATACAATACATAATGAATAATACAATCTTCAAAAACAATACAATACCTAAGTGAATGAGTGTAGCTGTGTTCCAATAAAACTTTATTTACAGAAGACAAGGGGTGAGGCCATAGGTTTTCAATTCCTGCTTTAGAAAATTGTTTGCCATCTATGTTTTCAGTATTAATGGCAAAGATGATAACTCAACAAAGAGCAACCAAATGGAGAGGAATTAACTGCAATAAAAGAAATGAAAATTGGTTTGCCTGTTATTTCAATGAATATTTCAGTGAATGTTTCCCAAAGGCCCAGGGCAGGGTGGTGGCAGTGGCGAGGGACGGGGGAGGTTGGAAGAAACCAGTCCCTTCCAGTCCCTTCACCTTGATCCCCACCTGGAGTGGATATTAAATGAAAATCAAATCACATAGTCGTGTCACTTTTCTCATTGTCACGGTGTTTTTGTTTTGTTTTGTTGTTTTTGGTCAGTAGCAATAGAAATGAGCTACAGTGGTAGAAGGAAACTAGCTGTCAAGCCAGCAATTCTAAACGCACTGGTGTAGTAGGAGACATGCTAGGGATTATTCCAGTTTTTATTATTAGAATTTATTTTACTTTCACATATTCATTCTCAAACACTCTTCCTTTATGTAAGTCCAAGTTTCTGACTTATATAACTTACCTTTTCTCTGAATAACTTCTTTTAACATTTCTTGCTAGGTAGGTAGATCTGTTGGCAATGAATTCCCTGAATTCCCTCAATGTTTGTCTGAGAATGTCTTTATTTCTCCTTCACTTCTCTTTTTAGATTTTTTTTTAATGTGGACCATTTTTAAAGTCTTTATTGAATTTGTTACAATATTGCTTATGTTTTATGTTTTTTTTGTTCTTTTGTTTTTGCTGTGAGGCATGTGGGATCTTAGCTCCCCAACCAGGGATCAAACCTACACCCCCTGCATTGGAAGGTGAAGTCTTAACCACTGGACCGCCAGGAGGAAGTCCCTCTCCTTCACTTTTTTTTGTTGTTGTTGCTGTTGTTGTTTTTGCGGTACACGGGCCTCCCACTGCCGTGGCCTCTCCCGTTGCAGAGCACAGGCTCCGGACCCACAGGCTCAGCGGCCATGGCTCACAGGCCCAGCTGCTCCGCGGCACGTGGGATCTTCCTGGACCGGGGCACGAACCTGTGTCCCCTGCATCGGCAGGCGGACTCTCAACCACTGCACCACCAGGGAAGCCCCTCCTTCACTTTTTTAAAAAAAATTAATTTTTGGCTGCGTTGGGTCTTCGCTGCTGGGTGCAGGCTCTCTCTAGTTGCGGTGAGTGGAGGCTACCCTTTGTTGCAGTGCACAGCTTTCTCACTGCGGTGGCTTCTCTTGTTGTGGAGCACAGGCTCTAGGCACATGGGCTTCAGTAGTTGCGGTTCGTGGGCTCAGTAGCTGTGGCTCACGGGCTCTAGAGCGCAGGCTCAGTAGTTGTGGCGCACAGGCTTAGTTGCTCTGCGGCATGTGGCATCTTCCTGAACCAGGGCTCGAACCCATGTCTCCGGCATTGGCAGGCGGATTCTTAACCATTAGCACCACCAGGGAAGTCCCCTCTCCTTCACTTTTGAAGGATACTTTTTCTGGCTACAGAATTCTAGTTTGGTGGGGTTTTTTCTTTCAACACTTACTTCACTCCCCCCTCTTCTTGCTTGCATGGTTTCCAAAGAGACATCCAGTGTAATCGTTACCTTTGTTCCTCTATAAGAAAGATGTTTCATTTTGTTTTGTTTTTCATTGTTGTCTCTGGATACTTTCAAGATTTTATCTTTCTCTTTGCTTTTCTCGAATTTGTATGTGATACATATAGATTTGGGGGGATTTATCCTTCTTGGTATTCTCTAAGCTTCCTGGACCTATGGTTTAGTGCTTGTCAATAATTTTGGAAAATTCTCAGCCATTATTACTTCAACTATTTCTTCTGTTTCATCCTTCTTCTTCTCCATCTGATATTTCCATTAGACATTTATACACCCATTGTAATTGTCCCACATCTTTTGGATATTGTTCCCTTCTTTTTTACTCTTCTGTTTTCTTTCTGTTGATGTGGTTCAGGCTCACTGATTCTCTCCTTGGCTATGTCCAGTCTGCTGATGAGCCCAGCAAAGGCATTATTCATTTCTATTATGGTGTTTTTGATTTCTAGAATTTCTTTTTAATTATTTCTTGGAATTTCCATCTCTCTGTTTATATTACCCATCTGTACTTACATGTTGTCCACTTTTTCCAGTAGAGTTCTTAACTTAGCTTATCTTAGTTATTTTAAACTCCCTGGTCTGATAATTCTAACAACATTTCTACCATATCCGAGTCTGGTTCTGATGCTTGCCATGTCTTATCAGACTGTGTTTTCCTGCCTCTTAGCACGCCTTATAATTTTTTTGTTGAAAGCTAGACATGATGTATTGGATAAAAGGAAATGAGGCCAATAGGTCTTTAGTATGAGGTTTTACATTCATCTGGCTAAATGTTAGCCTGTATTTACCATTTGTTGTAGCTGTGGTGTCAGAGGCTGAAATTTTCATTTTTGTCTCCCCTGTTGTCTTTGGGTTTTCCTAGATATTCCTTAAATAGGACTTGAAACTTGCAGTCCTTTTCAGCTATAATACCTTGTTATTATAAGGAGTCCTGTTGATGTGGTAGGAAGATGTGAGGGGAAGGAAAGAGTTGTATGTCCTATCATTAGGTCTCAGGTTTTTAGTGAGACTGTACCCCTGGGCTATGACCTTTACAAGTGTCTATCAGCTTTTTTACTTTTATTATATTATTATTATTATTATTGTTAGTCACCTCTAAGATGAGACAGGAAGGTTAGAGGTAGCTGTTGGGTTGGGTATTTCCCTTTCCTCATCTTGATTAGATTCTGGTAAAATTGTTTCCCTTGAAGGCAGGCCTTTGTTAAGAGAATAGAATAGGACTCTGTGGTCATGTTTCAAATAGTTACTTTCTCCCTCCCCATGGGAAGAATGAGGGTATTTTTCTGAGTGTCACAGTGAGAATCTGGTGAGGCTCCTGGAGGTAAAACTCCTGCAAGTTTTAAACTCATGCAAGGGTGCGGAGGTGTGGTGTGGGCCAGTGCTAGGCCTCCAGGAATTCGTAATCTCTTGAACTAGTTCACACTCAGGCTCTAGCAATTAGTCAACTACCCTTTAATATTCTTACCTGATGCTGGCTCCAACAGCAGTTTCTGCTTTCAGTAAGCTGTGATTCTACGTATCAGCTCGTCTCTTCAGCTTTGGGGTGGTAATCTACTTTATAACCTCACTTCTTCGATGGATCTAGGAAGAATTGTTGATTCTGAGTTTTCAGCTTCCTTTTTGTCGTGCGATGGAAGTGATGACTTCCAAGCTCTTTACACATCCAACCAGAAGTCTCAAATATTAGAATTTAGACTTCTGCTTTAGTATTTGGACAACAGTACATTTGAGAGTTTCAGGAAAACAGGGGAATACTACATTATTTTACACTCTAATTACAAGGTACATTTATGTTTAAGTAGGCACTATCTCAGTGATTTGCCAAGCAGTAAATACAAATGTAATTTTACATTAATATTTAAGTTAAGTAAATGCAAAAAAGGTTCATATTCCAAAAGTTATCACAGAACATTTAGGCTGAAACCTTGTTTTCTGTCATTTTAGGAAGTCATATGAAACCCAAGAAATGACATTCCCACGATTTCTATCAGGGATTTCTACTTAGGGGAAAGTCTGCTTATATTTTGCACACAGTGCCAACTCACATGAGTCTAAAGCTTTATAGTTTACCACATATTTTAACTTCTCTCATTTGATATACTCTTTACAATCATTTGGTGAGGAAGGTAGGAATGGAACCATGTTATGCGTGGGGAATCTGGACTTGAGTAACTTGTCTGAGGTCACATTACTAACAAGTGCTTGTTTAGAATTCAAAACCAGGTCTCAGTGTTCTATCCACTGATTAGACCAGCAGGTGGAAAGATGAACTGAGACTTCCTCATAATAAACTCACCAACATAGCAAAAAGTACTAAACAAATTACCAATAAACAAGAGCAGTGACACAAAAAGAACAAGTAAATATTTGTACTATAAATGAAAAAATTTGCTCTGGGGTAGAGATGAAGTCGCAGTCATTTTAGAGTTAGGGAATCTGGAGGCATTTTTCCCTCTCCGGATACAGCCCTCAGAGTTCTGGGTTTGTTAAGCTTTTATAATACATTATGTACCTTGGAATTTTTATATTATTGTTTTTTTCAGAAACACCAATTTTCATCTATGTGACTTTAAGCTTGCTGATTTTTAGCATTTTTGTTTATTTTTGTTCTCCTTCTAATGGGGGTGTCGCCAAAGATGCAAAAGTGGAGCCCTCTAAGACTGGTGAATACAGGCATGGCTTTAAATCACCAAACAGAGCCATCCACTTCTCAGACCCCCGAGTCCTCTTGAGGAAAAACACTACTACACTACCGAGCATGCACACTGTTGACATTCCTTTTGGCTTCCCCAGAGGGACCTACAGGCATTTACCTACAGTCATTTACCAGGGCAACTAGGCACTGGGGAGAGAGAAATACCCAGACTTCTCAGGGATGCTGGACTCTGGCCCCGAATTGATTTTTATCCTGGCAACCCAAAAAGACACAATGATCCACCATTCAGAGTTTTGGCTCAGGTCAGCTCACAGAACCAATGACCTACTGTTGTCTGTTCATGCCAAAGGCTGTGCTCTGAAAATTACTTTCAAAGTTTTATGTGTTTATGGAAGTTGGGTACTTTGTCTCTTGGTCTGGCTAATGTAGTAATTAAACAACAAAACACTTCTCGAATGGTGTTAAGAATTTAAACTATGGTTGGCTGAGTCGCTGAGCCTATTTGTGAATTAGCAAAGAAATCCTATCCAAGTTCAAGGAAAGAACTCTAACCCTGGAGTTGGTTCTTTTGAATGCGAGCAGAAGCAGCTTTATGAAACCCTAGTAGGATCCAGAGCTCCCATTTCAGTTGCTCCATTATGTCGGTATGAAGGGCAAAATTACTTGTTTTTACACGTGCAGAAGAACTAAGTTTTTTAAAAAAGATTCTGTTGTTTTTTGTCTTTGGATGAAAATTACTGGAGATCTTGGGGGGGGGTGTAAATGGTTTTCAGAAAGCTTTATTGTAGGTAAAATTCATTTATATATAATTTAAATAGCACTTTCCTAATCAGATTAAAATAATAAAAACCTCTTTGTGCGTTTATCTTTCCCTTCTCATGTCCTCAGATTACAAGTGGCCTCAACTCCAAGCTCAAGTTAATGTGCCTGCTCCTTCCCTCCTCTGGGCCATCCACCCACCCAGTCCAAGTGGGTCACAAAACTAGAATTCTCCTTCATTTACCTCTACTTTCAATGCTGTCCCTTCCAAAGGAAAAAAACAAACATCTGTTTACCAAGCAAACACCTCTTTCAAAGCTACTTCTTCAAAACACTCTTGTAGGCACATTCCCTGGTCATTCAGATAGAACGGCAAAGTTTTATTATAGCTTTGAACATTTTTCTAAAATGATATGATGATTCTTATCAGTAGTAAAAATATTGCCAAAAAAGGGTCAAGAATATGGGTGAAGTTCTTCTGCCTATTTAAAGTGGCCATTCACCATATACAGCCCACCACACACCGATTTAAACGCACCCCATCTTTCTTGCTTCCCCTCTCCCTCATCCCTAGCTCTATGTGCTCCATTATTCTCAGAATAACCTATCAAATTGATCTAGAACATTATTTCTTATAAACTATGAGTAAATATGAAGCATTCCACTCCTTCCAGCCTAAATAATCACAGAGGTGGGAAGGAAATGTTTGAAAAAGGAAGTTAGCTCCAGTGGTTGGATGACCACTGCACTTCTATCTATCCACACACCTAACATGACCTGTATTTCCTAACACGCTCCAAAGAGCTGAACCTGAAGTATAGCACTCCTTAAAAATGTTTAACTCCCGATCTAGTCCTCTGCCTACATCACACGCATGACTGTAATAAATAAACAACTTAAGTGCCTCACTAGTCAAAGTGTGGTCGGCATATCAGCATCACCCAGGAGCTGTTAGAAATGCAGAATCTCAGGCTAGTCTAGCTCTACCAAATCAGAATTTGCATCTTAATAAAATCTCTGGGTAATTCAGATGCACATTAAAGTTTGTACTATATATGTCAGAGCCATTATAATATAAAGTGGATTCTAAATGTGAATTACAGCAGCTGTTATTGAGAACAATCTGGAAGTCTTTGATAAAAATGTATATGCCATTTGGCCAGTCAATCCTACCCTTGGGAATATAACAGCACATGTAAGGAATTTGTTTATATGTAAGGAAATCGATTTATCCCAACATTGATCACAGTGGCAATTAAGAAAGAACAAATGAAAGGAGGAAGAGAGAGAGGGAGGGAAGGAGGGAAGAAAGAGACCTGAGCTTGTCAACAAAGCAAATGCCCATCAAACGGGGAAGAGTCGGATAAATCATGGTTCATCCACACTATTAAGTATCACTTAGTCACTAAAAAGAACTTGAAGTGATTTCCATTGATGAGAAAATCAAGAAAAAATTCTCGAATAATACTTGAAACAATGGCACCCTACCTGTAAATAGATGCATATACAGGTACATCTGTGAGTGACTACCTGGGCAGGTTAAAGAAAAGTGGAAAGATGTGCACTAGGGTGACCTGAGTGGAGGGAGGAGTGAGCCAAGCAAAAAGAAAAAGTGAAACAAAAGAACAGTACACGAAAAAAGCTGATAGTATATTCTGATGTTACTTTAGCATTGCTGTAAAACTTTATGTGGATCTAAATCAACAACTTAAAAATTAAACAAAGACGATGAAGATAAAAAATAAGAGAATTCCTCTGAAAAAGCCAGTAAATTGACTCACTTCCTCACAGTAACTTCCTGTGGGTTGCTTGATGCTTCTCAGCAAAACATATTTTTTTTCAGTCATCCTCCATCAAAATAATGAGCTTGCTGTACTTGGCCATTCCTGGTGGGGGTGGAGATGGGGGGGGCGCTCGGGGGGGCTCCCTGAAGCTCTTCCCTAGCACATCACTTGATGCTCCATTGAGTACTGACATGAGATAACCCATACTAGAGTACAGTGAAACCTACTAAACACTGTGACCTGGGTCCACCAACAGAAGATACTAGATGGAGGTTAGGGACACAATATTTTGCCTGCTGATAAACATGCCTACCGTTGACCATGGTAGCAACCCCTGTGGAAATGAAGAGCTACTTAATTCCAGCTTTTCATACTTATCAATTTTCCTCCAATCAAAATTAGAAAAATCCCTATTTCCTACTTAGTGAATGCTTTTCTTTCCCCTGCTTCCTACTTAAGACACCTTGCACCTTACTGATTCTTGTGCTTTTTTCTAACCCAACGTGTTACCCTTAAAGATGAAACCAAACCAAATGAAAACGTATTTTCCCCAGATTGCCTAAATACATCAACACGAAACACCAACCTTCTGACAAAAGTTTAAAAACAGAGCTTTAACCTGATTCATGTCATAAAGTTGGGAAAGTGCAGTGTTCATTTTTCCTGCATTGATTGGATACTTGTCCAATGGATAAGCTCAAACCATTTCACCAGGAACCTTGAGGCCCACCCACATGACTGGTCTGAGAGACAGAGGGACTATTCACACCAGGAGGAAAATATACAGAGAACTTCAATAAGCCATTCAAAAGGTCTGAGGTAGGGAAGAACCTTGACTATCAGCTTACGAGCGTAAAGATGGTGAACTGTGTAACAAAACACGTATGTAAAACTTCTAAAACTGCTCCTTCTCTTTTTAAACCCAGGCTCTATGAACATACCTGTGATCTCAGTCTTTTCCTCTTCAACGATGCACTGCTTGTTTCTAGTGGGGGCACGTCTCATACTCCGTTTGAAAGGACTTCAAAATCAACCTACCAGTTCATTGCATCAGTGGCCCTTCACAGACTACTCATAGAAGATATTCCAGATTCCAAATGTATGTACTCTTTTCCTCCCAAGAGTTAAATACCTTTAGAAAGCTACATTATATAAAACATATTAACTATTAAAATAGAGAAGCAGGACAAGAACTAGAATTTGACAGCTTGCAAATAATTTCCCAAATACTTCTAGGGTCTCATTAATGTAAACTTTCATCTACCTCTAAAATAGCAAAAGAAAGGAATGCTGGCATTGTCAGACACACACCCTAGACATTAAGAAAACAGCTTTCAAAAATCACAAAGGGGGCTTTCCTGGTGGCGCAGTGGTTGAGAATCTGCCTGCCGATGCAGGGGACACGGGTTCAAGCCCCGGTCTGGGAAGATCCCACATGCCGTGGAGCAACTAGGCCCGTGAGCCACAACTACTGAGCCTGCGTGTCTGGAGCCCGCGCTCCACAACAAGAGAGGCCGCGAGAGTGACAGGCCCGCGCACCGTGATGAAGAGTGGCCCCCGCTTGCCACAACTAGAGAAAGCCCTCGCACAGAAACGAAGACCCAACACAGCAAAAATAAATAAATTAATGAAACAACTACCCCCAACATCTTTAAAAAAAAAAATCACAAAGGGAAACACAACCCTACATCATTGTGAAGGATTCTTTGAAGTAGTCTGACAGGAGAGCTGGAGTCCTTAACCATTACTCTATTTTGCTTGAGGATGTTACAATTTTAGGTTTTTATCTATTATTTTTCCATTCTAGGACTAAGTGATTTTTGCAGATCTGACTGTACCTCTTCTTCCGTAAGTTCGTATTTAAGAGTTCTTCTATAAAGGATCGATTTGTAAAGGGTATTTAATAACAAACATTTCATTCATAACAATCTCAACAGAAATATCATTTGTTACAAAAAGAAATCCTACTTAAACCTACTGTACCTATTTTTAGTTTTTATCTTACATTCTACTTCCCAATCTTAAAAGGATCCGTATCTCTTTCCTATATTTCTGTTAGGCCAGGCAATCTGAATGTAACACCTCTCATTCCAATATTCTTCACTGCATGTGAAGGTAGAACTTAAGGTTAAAGCCAGAACCAAGATCTTAGAGAAGGAATTCATCTCAAAAGGTCTGCTTCCCATTAGCTTCAGCTCCATTTAAAATCTGAGGATGAGAAAAAATGAACACTAAATGTGGGAATAAATATTCCACCTAGAAGACAAGCTCAGCTAAGAAGGGTTAGTTACCCATAACATGTATGACATGTCTCCTTTCACCTCCCCTTAATCAGTTATGCTATATGTCAGAACATCATAATGTTAGCTAAAAGTGGGCATTCAGCTAAGTCACTGGCTTAATTCTGTCCTGGCCTCATACCAAGGCGGCCTAGGTCTAGCTCTCAGCATTTCTTATCTACAGTTAACTCTTAGTAAAGACCTTTACTGGTCCCAGTACCTTCTGGAATTAAAGAACATTGCATCGTCTATCACTTAGTCTTTAAAAATAATTGCTAATTATAATTAAACAATTATAATGTAAAGACAAGACTATTTTAGACTATATTTGAATAATTCAGTAATTTAGGAAGTTATTTTCTAAACTGGATTTGTATTTGTTTGAATCTCTTTTTAATTTTCAAAAAATTCTTCAAGATGACTTGAATTTTAAAACATTTTCTCCTTTTGATTTTTACCTGCAAAGACTAATTAGTGTACCTCAAATGTTTTTTTTTTTATAGATATCAAGTATGCATTTATTCTTCAAGGTCCAAAACATGAATGGATTTGTGCTACAAAAGTTGAGGATGATAAATTCCTGTGGTTGTCAGTACTCCAAAATGCCATCGAAAGTAGTATGGAAAAGTGACACTGGACTTAAAACACTGGGAGTTCCAACCTGCCCTGGCAAAGACAGACAGCATGTTATTTTCTGTTCCAGAAGATCCAGTAAGGAGTAGAATGATTATTTGTCATGGATGATGGGAGGATGAATTAGGATGACCCATAAAGCTCTTCCTGACTTTTAAACTTCATCATCTATGCTCAATTATGTGAAATGCACAGTAAGAAAAATTTGAGTACGATATTTTGAACCACTTCTTTTGGTAGTTATATTTCATGAACAGTATTATTTAGAGTAATCTGACTGACAGAACCTAAGACTGAATAAGGTTGGGGTATTTAAAGTTTGGGTATTTAAAGTTTTGTTTTCTGATCTAATGAAAAATAAAGTCATAATGAAAAGTGTTTCTTAAATGATCAGAGAAATGTCTTTATCTGTTGGTGATTTACCAATTATCTTTAACATTTTCATGAAATAGTTATGGATTTAAAAAATATGTATAAGCAATATAACTGGGGGCTTCCCTGGTGGCGCAGTGGTTGAGTGTCCGCCTGCTGATGCAGGGGACACAGGTTTGTGCCCCGGTCCGGGAAGATCCCACATGCCGTGGAGCAGCTGGGCCCATGAGCCATGGCCGCTGAGCCAGAGCGTCCGGAGCCTGTGCTCCGCAGCGGGAGAGGCCACAGCAGTGAGAGGCCCGCATACTGCAAAAAAAAAAAAAAAAAAAAAAGAAAAGAAATATAACTGGTACTTTATTTAAAAACTTGTCACATATATCCTTAATATGAATGTACTCCTCCAGAGAGTATTAAAAATATACCACTATACAGTACTAAAAATTTTTCTGTAACTTTTAAGTGGTCTTTTGTTGCAAAATTAAATTCTTAGACCTTCCAAATAAAAAGATTAAAAAATTTGTTACACTGTTAAATTAGAAGGCTGTTTGGCAGGGCGTGTGGGGAGGTACCTTTTAAAAAACAAAACTTGCCTGTAATGGAATTTTGCTGAGTAAAAAAATGAAGAAATTAAGACAACTATTTTAAAACAGAGGAAAAAAAAATAGGTATTGAGTAGTTTTCTGGGCGCTTAAAGCCTTCATTTAATTATTTAATAAACTGAAGCTATAACCTGTTAGCCACTTTGAAACTTTAGCTGATATATGCAGTAGTAAAAATATTTTTACTTAATAATGTTGTCAGTCTCCTTTTTGCTTCAAATTCTCCTTTAAGGAAATGAAATTTACTAGTACAGTCTAGGATTGTGAACTAGGCTATTTTAAACATTTTCTTCTTTCAACAAAATACAGAATTTTTAATTCTTAAAAATTTAAATTCTTGTTAAAAATGTACAAAAGTTAAAATACTGTTTTTATTAGTGTAAAATCACACTTTTGATTCTTTTATGATATATCCATGCAGCTTAACATCTATGATGCCACACACAGAAGAAAACGTTAAAGGAATATCTGCTGTTAGTCAGCAATAAATGCAAACTTACAAATGTGATCAAAATGAAAATATCATCTAATACAAAACAAATCCTGAGACGCTACATTATCCTGAATAGGACAAACTTCAGAAACCCTTTGTTAACAGGAAAAACCTCTCTCTATGGCAAAAGAGTGAGTAACAAGATAGCTCAAGATAAACTAGAAATCTTAAGGAATTTCCATTTATTCTGTGAATAATTAAGGTCCTCAGAAATTTTAAAACATATTACTTGAAAAAACTTGTAGAGGCTGATGAGCATAAGCTTCTAATTGAGAGTCAAGTACATAAATCATGCAAAAAGTGGTGATGTTTGCAAGTGGACAGTACTTACGTTGTTTGTGGTGTCAACACTTTCCCTTTGCTTCTAGGGGACAATTTAAAAAGGCCTGTCTTCACAGTTAATTTTAAGTTTACATGACTGCTGTGGAATTAAAATCTCACACACAAGCAAGTTTAAGTCACAGGTGAAACTGATCAAATTTTCATAAGGAAAACAAAATCTGCCCCCCAAGTTGATGTGGAAAAGTCTGAAAGTACCATGTGACTCTTGAAGAATGTTAATTATGGCAGAGCTTATGGTTAACGAATGCCTTATACCATATAGTTCTTTCAAATCAAAAATTAAATAGGAAACGCATTTTAAAGATTTTTGGATTCTTTATGTTAAGTACTAAACCTAAAGACAAACTGACAGTTTATTTAATTTTGTCTCCTTTTGTAAATATTTCTGAGTCTGTGCTCGAGGTGTAAATGAGAAGCCCGTTCTGTAAATCCAAGCAGTGAGCGGTTCTGGCCACATAAGTATAATGGACCAATGTTATGGATGTACTCCTAACGCTACAGAGCAACAAGGGTGGGCTGTGCCAACAAACACAACATACCCTCCACGAAGTCATCCTGACCCTTTTATTGTTGCAATTAAAAAATAAAAGGTACTTAAATACAGTGGTGAACACATAGGGCGAAACAGAATCATAAAATTTAATGTTGAATTAAGCAGTGAGCTGAACGTTTGGGTCTCCAAATTGGCTTTGAACCCAAAACCGCTTAAAAATGGGTATGTTCACAGTTAACGGCAATTGGCTTATAGGTGAGAGAATGGTCGAAGCTGTTCCAGTTGAACTTCCAGGGAAATTCTCTCCTCAAGAACATCCTGAAAAAGATGCAAAGCCAAGTTACGTTTCAACATGCATAAAAATGAAGGCACATCTAACAACAGCTCTGCATTCAGTAAAACAATTTAAATTTGTTAAGAAGAGGAAGGACAACTTCATATTTTAAAAGGATACTTTACTTTAGAAATGTAGTTTCTTTATATGTATGTAATGTTAAAATGTGATCTTAATTAAATCTTTATTTCTTAAGTCAGGGTAATAAAATGTTTTTTGTTTCATTATCAGAAAAGCTAATATTTGCAAATGATAGTTACTGATGCATGAATTTTGCATAACGCCTACTCCACCCCCTGTAGTAACCGTAGATGAATCAGTTAACACAGATTCTTTCCCCTGGTGATTACATCTGGTCATAACAACTCCTGAGCCACCTTTTGAGTTTCAGTTTCACAATGAATAAATGTATTTTGTAATCAGAATTTCTAATTACTGTTGATTTTGAGCAGACTTTTCAGATAGCCTACAACTTCTGATTCATCCATTTTCCTTTTTTCTTTTTCTCTATCATACTAATAGTATAGTGTTTTAACCAGGATGACCTCTTCCTATTTGGTACCATACTTCCTATTTTCTGTCCTCAGAGATAATGAGAAAAGTGATTTTTAAAATAGCTCCTATATACATGTTGCTATGATTTTCCTTAGTTCTTCAGAAAAACATGCATTAACAAAACTTTCATCTTCGAGGTATGGTATTAGCAAGCTTGTCATGAGTTTTACATTCTTCCTTTACAATGGACCAAATTCATAATCATAGAACAGCTATGAATATCTTCTTTGATCAGAGAGTTATACAAGAATATTATTCCTTTAACATACATTTATCAAATGCCTAACATGTGCAAGGTTTTGGGGACAGAGACAAGATAGTTACAAATCTATCTAGGACAGTCTCAGTTTATCTCTGATGTCCTGGCCTATTAACACATCTCTCTCTTTTCTCTCAAAAGTACCTTGGTTTGGGGACTTCCCTGGTGGTCCAGTGGTTAAGACTCCGTCTTGCAGTGCAGGGGACACCGGTTCGATCCCTGGTTGGGAAACTAAGATCCCACATGCTGCGGGGCAATTAAGCCCGTGTGCCGCAACTAGAGAGCCCACGTGCCACAACTACAGAACCCATGCGCTCTGGAGCCCACACGCTACAACTAGAGAAGTCTGTGCACCACAAAAAAGCGAAGTACCCGCACGCTGCTACAAAAGATTCCGGGTGCCGCAACTAAGACCGATGCAGCCAGAAAAAAAAAAAAAAATGTACCTTGGTTTGAACGTTATATGGTCACCCTAAACAGAAATGATTATGGTTTACCCTCAACAAGTTCAGTTTTACTAGGACAGAGAGACAAATGTGCCATAGATATGGACAATGTGATAAAGGCTAGATAAGGAATATGAAAAGAATGTTATGGGACTCAATAACTCTGTATTCATTTTACATTTCAATGAACTCTTTCCTCATCTTTGTGGTTTACAACCTTGCTACTCAAAGTGGAGCCAACAGTCCAGCAGCATCTTCATCACCTGGAAGCTTATTAGAAATTGCAGAATTCTCAGGTCCCACTCCATACCTGATATAAATCAAAATTTTCATTTTAACATGACCCCTAATTAAGCGTATATACATTAAGGTTTGAGAACCACTGGTTTATAAGACATGAATGCTTAATAATGTTGATGAGTCATAAATGATTCTGGCTGTTAGCTTTTTTTGTAGGGATTCAAAGAAATCATGGTTAGTAGTAAGTAAGAAAAACAAACTCAATCCTCTCAAGTACAGATGACAGGAGTACACACTGGCGCTAAGCACCATTTCTATTTAAGGCTTGTCTTTTCTACTTTAAAGATGATCTAAATTGCCCCCATCCCTCATCTTTAGACCTGTTTAAGTCATTTTAATAGAATCTGAGTTGTCTTTGATAAAAGGGTAAATTAACAATACTCAAATCATTTTAGAATTAGAGTGTAGAGAGCCACACATGTGATACTGGAGGTATCCGAGGTCACAACATTTCTGCTCTTGGGTCTCATTATGAAAGTAAAACATTTTAGGAATATGATGCCTTATATACATGTAGGATAAGGCAATCATACCAGAATTGAGTACAGGAAATTCTTTTTACTATTAAAGGACTCAAAGGCATATAAAACACTTCAGATCTACACTTCTCTTGCTACGTGTAAAGTTTCATACTAGCGTAAGAATTGCTGGATCTCCTCCAAGTTCCAGTTCAACACTAAGAGGCTCTGAGTCCATGGAACTTCCCAAATAAAGATTCAGAAACTACATTACCTTTAATTGTTGCTGCAATTCACTATTCAATCTGGCCAAAACTGTGTTGGTTTCCTTATTGCGTCTAATTGACGCCTGAATAGCTTTCTTATCTTTTCCAACAGACCTGAGAAGATAAAAAAAATTACCTTCATTTTTTATCTTTAAATTCTCTCCATTCTTCCCTGATCTCTAAACCCAGAACGCAGAGGAAGCATCTTTGCCTTGTTAGCATAGCTCAACCTCACTTGCTCAGTTTTAATGCTCCACCAAAAGTATCTAAGCTTCAGAGGCTTAATTATTGTAGTTGTTGTTTTAATGATTATTCTGT